TTGCAATTCCTATTTTAATTTTTCAGTGTTAAAAGAGAAACTGGACTGATCAAAGTTGTTGTTGTCACTCGATGAATTTGTTCACTACCCAACCGGAAATATCACTTATTTCTTGTTAATTGATCTTATCCATTGCTCCCCTCCCCCTTAAAAAACAAACAAACCAAGCTACAATTTACAAATAAAATACCTCCAAATAGATAATCACTAGCTTCAAAGCTATAAGCAGGAAAACGCAGTCTTCTGCGACTATCGAAGGAGTACAGTGGAACGAAAAGAACCGAGCCTCAAGACCTAGAAGCAAGAGCTTAAAACTACAAGTCTCCTCTACTAGCACTATTGATGTTGAAGTTCTTATTCAATTCACTTCAGTTCGATTGTTCGTTTTCCTATGACTTTTTGTCTGAGGTCAACTCAGTTGGTGTATTACTGACATATTTCTACTCATCAGACTTCCTCAGTTCGCTGTCTCAGAAGTGCTCACTTCAAGTCATTTTATACCTGATATTTTGTCATTAAGACTGCAGAGAAAGCCAGTTTCCAACCTTACTGGCACCTTAACTCAGTCTAATTACTGAACGTTTTGATGCTGGTTCCAGGATGATTCCTTATCTACTTATATCAAATTAATGTATCAAGATGAAATGACATCACAGATGTCGTGGTGGTCGTGTGAAGAGTCACTAGACAGCTTTCAATCCAGTAGAAGGTAAAGTGAAGATCTATGTGTTAGAAACAAACGGGTCAGAAGTGTTTTCACTGAGATAATTAGGAATTTCGAACGTTTTAAAAGAAATTATGAATTCGCCGATATTTGTATAAATGTAGATCATAAACACTTTGGTAGTGTTAGATTTGTTTGTGATACAGTGCGGTATTTACTTGATAACGGTACGAGCATGATTTTTCTCTCATAACCATATCATTGTAATCACAGTTTTCGACATGTAATTTTTATAGTCCTACCGCCTTATATTCAATATTGTTAAGGCTAGGTTGCACTTCTGTCAACCAACATCTTTTACCAAGTGTTAATAACCTCTTGCTGTTGTTCATGTGCTACATACAGCTCGGTATCTGTTATCTATTCTCTAAGTTACTCATGCATTATATCTTAGCAGGAAACGAAAAGATACTTTTTTTTCTTCCTAGAAAAGAGATGCACAAGGATATTCATAGGCGTGTAATAGTTACTTAATCAAACTAGTTGGCAGTCACTAGCTACTTTAAGCGACGATTTATGATAGCAGTTTCCTGAGGACGCAATTTTACCGTCATGTATTCAAATAATGCTTCTTCTGAAGTCATAACTTTCCCCCTTGTGAAGTCTATGATACATCAGCTTCCTATTAGAAAACGTCACCTTGAGTGGTCAACTTCGCTATCAAAAACTTTGTGCTAGTGTTGTACTCTTGACTTTCATCGTAATAATGATATCTATGAAGTCGTTTTTTCATCACTGAAAACCAGACTAGCCTGGAGTTGTGAAGTCTTTAAAATCATATCAACAAGTACATTATTCCGCAAGGGCATAAAAAACGGATGAGTAAGCGGCACTGGTTTCTATCATATGATTTAGTCCCCACATAATTTCGAAAATACTTCTGAGAAAGCAGAAAAAAAACATTTATTCGCTGCGCAACCAACCTTAAAAACTTTAGTATGCTAAGAGTTTAGCTTCTGTCCATTTATACGTATTCGCCAGTGAAATGCGCATCATTCTGCATCAAACAACTGGACGGATATAAAAGTGAAAGCTTACCTAACCGCTGTACGTGAAACGCGATTCTCACAGTGACATCAATGGCATATTTTGGCAACTATCTTACTTGTAAGGTTCAGTTTTGATGTCTCTCAACTTCACATGATGAAAGCGGTTTAAGCCATTCAGATGTTGACAAAACAACTACGATATTGCCGATTGCTTCCAAAACGGAGGTTCACAGATTAATGCAAACGATCGGTGGTTGGTTTAAATACTGAAAGACTTTACATTGTCGTACAGCTTCTAATGGAGTGAGGTAGCATGAGTGGTTTAGGCTATTCATTTGACGTCTAGGAGCAAAAGCTGACAATAGTTAGTAGTTAGGTAATTCCTACAACTAGCTGGGAAGACAGAATTAATAGATCAGTGTAGAACTTGACACGAAAGTGTGGCTATTTTCGTTATTACATTTAGCTACAGCACATATAGGCAGCCATGCAAAGTAGTGGGATATGAAAATAAACGCGAAAAATGTTAGTGAGTAGAGAATAGACAAATTAAGGCTTACGAAATCCAGTGGATGCATCTTCTCTGGGGATTTTCATCCACTGACCAAAAATAGACAGTCTACACTTCATAACGTCTTTTTCTTTAAAATAAATTCTATTTTGGCCGAACTTACACACTGAGTTAGGCAGTTGAGCGATGAACCCGACGTCGCCTCCGTCAATGCCGGATGACAACTAACTTACCTTCCTAACGTAACCAATTGTGATAAACAGTGCTTTGTTCCACCACATACGAGTAGTTCCACCCAGATGCCTTCGATTAAAATCATGCACACAGTTAATCTCACTGTCGTAAAAGTGCGCAGTCCTCTGTAGGGCTAATAGCAACAGTGTATGCCTTTCCAAATTCCCTCTTCTTACTGTTACTGCGTCAACTAGCAGAACATCAAGCATACAGGTTAGGATCTAGAATGACTGTCCAAACCGAAATCAGTGAACTTTCAAAGTCCTAATTACTAACTTACATAATTCCGTCACTACTAGACTTCCTACCAGTCGCACTGCTGTGACTATTTTACAGTAAGCCAGTGATGATATCAGGAATATACCTATGATAAAACAGGAGCGACTATGACTAACCACGCACATCCGGTTTCCATATTTTACGGTTGCATAATAACTGTAAACAGCTGGACATTAGCACTTTTCGTTGCCAAAACCATGGAACGTTATTCTATCTTAATCCACCCAGAAAATCTAGGGTAGTATCGACAGTCATACTTACTATCTTGAAAGCGTAGGGCACTTGTTTGATAAGGATAACAGCCTTTTCGGGTGTTTTTATTCGGGGTTTGACTTTGTACACTTTATGCATGACCTCTGGTAGTGGAACTCTATCGGAAAGGAGTATGCACTTTCTGCAGGATCAGTATCCCGTAACCGTCCTCCCAATTTCAGGTGGTAAACTTGGATTCGTTTGTCATAATATCCACGTTTAACGACCGCCCATGTCCATTGTAAACCTGAGAGGACCGTATCGCTATTTCACCTTCGCTCGAGACCTCTCGATGCTCCGAACACATAACTCAACGACAGGAATCCCAAATATGTTAAACCAACTGTAAAGTGCTATCACTTCTTCAGTACTGAAGACAATCGGCACCAATACATGACCTATGATTATTGATTATGGACTGAAGTTGCTACATCTCATATCAAGATACGATGCAAAAAGATTAAAGTTAGCGAAATGACTAAGAAGGTAACCAAAGTAATAGGAGGTTATGAAAAGGGAAAAAGAAGGAATGGAACGACATCGAGATGTAATATGACTATTAAAATGAAGGTAATGTGTGGCTATATCTGTGGCACCGAGATCGATACCAAGCCATGCCACACTACGTCTTCAACCACTGGTTTCTGTTGTCGTGCGGACAAAGGCCGCGAAGTCTACATTTCCCCACACAGCTGGGACCAAAAGTTGAAAGAAAAGGCTTCAACATTTGATGTCATCCTGTAGTATGGCCGCCTGTAACCTCTTTTCGGCCAGCTCGGACCTACTTCAGCTGATACTATGCGATGAGGTAGTGGGTGACTAGGCATGTGTAACATGTCCCAGCCACTTAAGCCCACGAAACTTCTTGACCGCACCAACCAACTTTCCTCATCTACAGAAAACTACACGCTTGACTTCTACGTTAGAGAGAAAAATGCAGTGCAGCACTCTTAGCCCTGAATCAACAATTAGATTTCATGGTGTGAGTTCACAATGGTCAAGGGGGCTTTTAGTATCCATACGGAGATTACATCGGTCACTGACCCACTAGCGGTGATCCGACTTCCGAAGAAAGTGGAGTCGTCAATGCACCGAACAGCTTCACTTCATACTGTTAGACAAGCCATCGGCGAAGACCAGTCCTGAGGCAACAATTTGCATTTAGATGGATAGAATTGCATCCCAAACATTCTAAATTGCAAGTCGAACTTTGCGTCTTCCCCTAGAAGAAGTGTGTTATTTTCGTACTCTAGGTCTATCAAGGATTCGCCTGTGATAACATCAAGCTTTGAAATGTCAGATAATGAGAGACGGACATTCATAAGTACGTCTGTGACAAAAATAACGAGTCAAAAGTGGACATTCTTGAGGGACGTCGCTGGCGTACAAAAATTACCTATTATTTCATGCGTGTTTGAATACAGAATTTGTGAGTCTTTATAAACTCAGGTAGCTCGAACAAGTGCTGAATTTCAATACCAATACCGTGTAGAAATGCAAAACGATACTCCATATTCGGAATATAACCGTTGTAGTAGGATGGCTTGTTTATTTCGCCAGTGTATTTCATGTTGCAGATTTCTTCAACATTCGGCATTTTTAATGCAGAACATAAAGTTTGCTGAAGAAACATACCCCGTGTAACTTTACTTCTTGACGAATACTATATGTACCAATATCAAAATATTGAAACTAATTTTGTTTATATACATTGGACAGCGAATAAATTAATTAATTACGCCTTTCCAAATCCTGTGACGTTTGTCTTTGGGTTTACCTGTCGTTGTCGTGCGTTCGGTTGGCGCATACTGGTTAGAATACGGCTTGTAACATTCTGATCAAACACAGGTGATATCCGCTCGTGTTATCCGATTCACATTGGAACGCGTTCGGAACTAATACCGTTGCGCACACAGTGACCACCAACAGTGGTCACTGATAAAAATCATATGACTGTAACGGTAAACAATACGAGGGGTGTTTGCATGATGAAAAAACTCGGTACAAAAGATTTCATTCCGTTACTTTCTTTATTATTATAATGATAATGATCACTACTATTTCTGTAGTAATTTATGAACTGGTCTTGATGAAATCTGTTTCTGCATACAACATCTCAATGACAGATTTAAAGTGTTGACGGGCTCTTTGACGTGATATTTTCATAGTAGGAGTTAGAAATCCATTCTCGGTGGTGAAAGGATAATCAGTTAGGTAAACAGATTTCACCTGAAAAAAAGCATTGGAAATATCAACATCCTTAAGTCGATAAAGAGAAACATTTGCAATAAGAACTGTTTGTTTTAATCAATAATCACGATGAAATCAGAATGACAAACGATATGCTGTTTTACTAACAAAATGTTCTTATACTACAACTTACAGATTTATCTCTCCAAAGGATCAGGAATCATGTGGAATGCACCTTAAAAACGAGTACGCTTACTCAGACTCTAAATGAGAGTTTAAAACAAAACATGACAAACTTAATATAATGTTCCGGACCATTCGTCAACGGGCCCCAGTAACAACAGATATGTAAACTTAGACAAACCAAAAATGCCAAATACATCTACGTAGGTGTCTCGATCAGGAGCGAAAAGTTCACTGTGACTCCATGAAAACCCAAATGGAAGATAGATTATGTGGTCACACACAATTTAGTTAGCCCCTATACCTATTTTAGAGAACAACTGAGTGTCACAGAACAGTTTTGCGATTACTGTTTCCTGTCGTATCATGGAAAAGTAATAAGGAATTACTTGTGAACTATGTTCTTCATTTTGTAGCATGATGAATTCTCAGATGCTGATGACTACGTTTTATATTTTTCTGCTGGTTAACATAGATTACTCGAGGCTTAATGAGTGGTTTTCTCGTACAATAAACATGTTAATTATATTATTTCACATGTAAATCAGAGAAATTGGATTTCATATTCATCATGATGACCAACAGTGGAATCCAGGACGCGTGCTTCATCCTATTTGGAAGTCGTCAGCTCCATACACCTGCACCCCAGGAGTGATGTTACCACGGTGAATCGAACCCAGTACTCATCGCTTTCAACAACAGGAAATTACAATTATCAAACAACGAAATTTGATGGTGTTTATTCAAATTTGTTATGAACAAGCATGTCATATACAGGAAATGCTAATGACACGAAAAAATTACACCATGTACAACTGCTTACTTTTTCAAAACCTTTTAATCCTTTATTTGATGCGATTTCGTTCATTTTCTGTAAAACTAACCAGCGAATTTCTTTGTTCTGACATAAATCACCATCAGATAACTGAGAAAGGTCTGACGTTTTCAAAGTGAGCAGTTCACTTTCACTCGAGTTACTGTTACTGGCAAGACACTGATGAATGCAAGAACGCAGGTTCGAGAAATTTGGAGTCACAACAGCAACAGGAAAATTTTGGTCAGGTTTTCCGTCAACCAGGATTTGATCTATAAGCTGGCAACCCTGATACACCATTTCTACCTTTTCTGGAGCTACATACTCTCCTTGAGCTAATTTAAACATACTCTTCACACGATCAACAATTTTTAGGGCACCTTCCTATAAAGATTTTGAGAAGTAGTAATTTTAAGCCCCAAGTAATTCTTCTGACAGCAAAATAATCTTTGAAAGTTAAAAGTCATTGTAGTTATATCCATGAAAAATTCATGCTATGTGGAAAGAATCAATTTACCATAAATACAATTGTAATGAATATCTACAAACAGTCAATTTATTCAATCTTGGTGATATTTCGAGTGAAATTACAGTCTGTGATTACATCAGTTGTTGGAATTATTAGTTTACACATTTAAAGTTAAATATCATGTAGATAATGTCCCGCTTTGTACGCTTATCGCTTTCTATCCAGCATGATGATGTTAGCGATTATGTTGAGTCCGCCTCTACTGCATATGCTAGCTGTGACATATACGGATATCAGTTTTACTGAGGGCGCAATGAAAATCTGGGTCGTGACAAGACTGGGACCTTTAGGCCCCTGGTTCGGATCCTTACCCCGTTATTTATTATGACGAGTGTGTGTCATCCACGTATCTCTACGAACTTTTGATTGAGGATATGTATGGTTTTAGGACATTTACTTCCTAAAAACCCATAAGTATGTCGGCAATTATTGGTAGGATGAGTGACCCTGTAGCAATTCCTTAATTTCAGACTGTAAATGAGTTTACACTGGTAAATAAGCACCATAGTATGTTACATCACTGATTTACATCCTGGTTACATTTGCATTGAATCAATGGATTTCTCTCTGGGGTCACGATAAACTTTGTTCAGTAGTACGCTTTATAAAGACTAATCCAAGCTTTCATTGCAAAATAACGCTGCTTAGCTTCTATCGAGTTTGTTATATAGACCCTTGTTTTGGAGACAAGAAACTGTGAATTTTGATAACGCAACGTTTCTACACCTGTTCAGAAATTCGACTTATGTCAGTGTTTGAGACAACCTTTCACTTTTATCGCATATCTTCTGTAGAAACACGATAGATCCTATCAATACTAATTTGTCAAGGTAAACATAGCCCATGCGAAAGAAACAACTGCTAATTATTGCGTATATTACTTAATACGGTCATGACTATCGCAGCCATTTTTATTGATCAAAGTTGCATCATGGATTTATTTATGCACATGACCCAGCAACTACGTTCTGCTACGTATATTAGAAATTGAGCCACATTTATTGTGTGAAGGGTTATGGTGAGACTTGGTTACCAAAACTTCGGTAGGTAGTGATAGACTGGTTGAGAGTGCCTTTGCAGGTCACCCTGACAACTATTGAGAGATAACCAATTATGATTCTTTACTTTATGAAAAACTACGTTTCCAGCCGAAATACTGAGACCTGATTGGTTATTTTAGTAACTGCTATGGGATCTCAAAGCAGCTCCTAGTTGAGGGCTGACCAAATAAATCAGTGAGCAACAGCTACAATACTACAACCAGCACCTTGAAACTAAAATGAAATAGGAAGTTTTGATCTCATGTGCGAACACTATTTTCTCAAAGCAATGTTACAGTGTCGAAAGTAGACATATGTACTGAGAAATAAATCTTTCTTCGCAAGCACTTTTGCTATATACCGATGAATAATTAAGGTTTAAGAAATCCCCACCGATTCTCACGTTCGTCTACAATTTGCTAACTACCTTATGTAAGCCTAACTTTAAGCGGACTAAAAAACACCGAGCGATTTCATAAGCATCAACGAATACATCGCAACAATATAAACATATATAAGACAGATATAAAGAAGAAAAACGAAGGGTAAGAGTGATTGGTTTCAGGTTTAGATCCTTAAAAAGGATGACAATGAAAGTACAAGTGCTTCATAGGCATTTATCTACAAACATAAAAAACATCGTTGATCACCTTTTTCGGTTGACTAAGGTAATGGGGAAGAAATTGCGGACAGCTAAGCATAGATCACCAACCTTTTGCAGGTGATACTACGAAAAAAGCGTTCTTATCTAATGGATCGAGAACGCAGTTAAGCATGATACTGGCTTTCATTGTAAATCCAATGAAATATAGACACAAACCAAAAACTTGAAGGCTCATGATGCGTATATTCAAAATGCCACGATTATCTGCTTGAACCGTTAACTGAATAAACGAGCGACGGAAGTGGTAACGTATCACGTGACAGCTTGAGTCCGTATGAAAAATGTTTTGAAAATTGCATTATTCCAAGTAATCTATATAACCAAGAGAAATAATGCTTTCCTTTCTCAACATCTTATCAATAGTGTTCACGCAAATGTATTATAAAAATTGGGAATTAGTCTTCATTAACATCCAAGTACAGACTTTGCAGAAAAATAAAATATTCCTAAACTTACTGAAGTCCACTCTCCGATATCTCCCGTATGCAGCCAACCATCCGAATCAATGAGGTCGGCTGTACTTTGTGGGTCTTTGTAATAACCTTTGGTACACCGTTTTCCTTTGACGCATATCTAGAACAAAATAAAAGCAGTGGCCAAAATAAATCATACATACAGACTATGCATATTATATGTATGATAGGGTGATTACCACGAGACTTGACAGTCATGAGATTCATTGTTGGGTGGTAGATGCAGGCTACAGACAGGAGTCCTCAACTAGAACATAACAGCTTTCTAATGCTCCCAGCTATTCAAAGCTTCCTTACTCCGTATCAATCAATCAGGAAAACCACATTCATAACAATGAATAGTTACAAACCAATATTTAGTGTCATCTCATGACTTCGTCGGACATAGCTTTCCCGAAGTGCTCAACAGGAAGTTGTGACCTATGAAGTCAACCAATTGAGAATGAGGTGGATGCCAAAGTTGACGATCGCGCTACATTACGAGCCAAAAAAGGTAGAAAATGTTAACCTATTGAATACCAGGTCAGGGACGGGAAGGTAAGGAGATCGTCTTAAGACTTGACAGTCTTGAGGTTATTCCTTCTAAAGACTATGCGTCAAAACTAAACTGCATACATCAACTATTATCACTTTCAGGGAGTATGCAATAAGATGCACTTACTGTGTGAAAACAACAGTAGTTATCTAGAGTTGGGAAATCTAAACTTAACTGTGGATCTTTCAAATAAAATTTATAAGTGTTAAGATTAATCTGGACGTAATGGTAAGGTTTTTTTTAGGTTGTCCACTAATTTTTGTATACCTCATACTCATACTACTTACTAGCGCTTAAGAAAACAAAGAGAGCACTGACACCTTACAACACGTTTGAACTTTTACTGATGTCAAATGATTGGCAAGCCCCATTTTCATGAAACCTTTAATTACATTTACTAATTCACTTGTTCGCGCGAAAGAAATGTTTGTAACCACATGTCTGAGTATATTCCAAGGAGTTTGCGATCAACAATGCTATCGCTCATCAGCTAATTGAAACCGGACATGAAACTGATATCCATTAATCGTTTAGCATAATTAGTAAACAGGTGAGTTAGGATTTGTTGCGTTTCACTGAAACGGTAGACGATTGAAACAAAATTTATTATTATTTGTATAAAAAAACAGTTTTCAGTTTGTGCCTATCATGATATACAGTTTTGTGTTGCTGGAAATAACAATGTTTTTGTGTCACTATCAATCCATGCACTTTTATAGTCATTCTAATACACTGCTTTGACCTTATTTTCTGAATTCTACTCAGCTTATTCCCCAAACTCATGTCCTCATTCACGTCATATCAATGCTATCCATTCCTAAAGCCTATGATTTTTTATTTAACTTATAAAGCGAACACTTTGTATAAACTGACATCCCGACCAACTGCACTGCAGCTACACTATCTGGGACGCTGGTTCCCTTGAGGTCCTACCGTGACAGGAAGGTCTGTTGGATAGTTGATAAACAAATTACCACGCTACTATGGGGCCCAAAGGCGAAGTTGTACTGTTACCTGGCTGAGGGTATGAGAGAAGTGATGTATTTCTAGCGGATAACCAGAAGTCCCACTCTGATGCTGTTTTCGCTCTGGGAACGGAAAGAAGGTTTAGAAAAGGTCGACCCTAAAAATTGTACAGTCCCTTCTACCCCACAGCACACTAGTGTCACCGAGACGGGTTCATAGTCGGGTTTACAAAAAAACAAACTAAACTATCAAACTTCTAAAATAGTGTATGACGGGCCTCAAGCAGATGTCCCACGGCCTCTACCGTTGCGCAATAGTCCTGTCCCAGGCACCTAAAAAAAACTGGCCTTCTATGTTACGGGTAGCCGGAAAGTGTCAACTGCCCTCATAACTCTATCACTACTCATTTTCCCTCGAGTCACCGTTCAACTAAATCTTTAACTTAAAGTCTTCCTTCTTTCCCCTCGGTTAATATTCTTATGTCATCTCTGATTTCTTCCAGATTAGCAGCTCTTCATAACGATTCGATTTCTGGGAACACCATTTACGGTCTTCTGCAACCACGTTCCAAACTAAATATTGCAGCTTTCAATGTCAGAAACCTCCGTCAAATCGACCAACAAGCTTCACTAACGAAAACTCTAGTAACTCGAGCTATGGATGTATAGTAAACTTGTATGACATACATACAGGACTAAAGTGTGATTACTTAATTAACTTCACCCTGTCCATATTATGAATCCACAGAATTCTCCCTTCGAATTTCTGGAGATTTGATGGGTATTTCTGTCAGTCTTGCGGCTGTAGATGTGGCATTAAGTGCTAACAAAGAAGATGCACTTGTGTTTCCCAATTAACACTTGCCTATGCATTGTTCGACTAAACGGTGCAGTGAGGACAAAGATGAATAGTGAAACTTGTATTTATGTTTTTAGATTTCGCTTATTCATCCATGGACTACATTTCGGATGAAGTGAAGGATGTGTTTCATCGAAAATTGTCTGGTCATCTACTGCAACCCAACCATTCAGATGTGGTTGTCACAGCAGGTAATTTCAAAGCAGAAGTGGGCAGGCTGAGTCAGGCAGAAAAACACCTAGGTGACACTATGGAATTACAGCCGAACGAACAGATTGCCTTCTACAACTGTGCTCGGTTAACCCTGTGTTTCTAGCCAGCACGAAATTCAAACGTACAGAAGGATATTATCTGACGTAGTGTCCAGTGACTTTAACTCAATGGTGGACACAGACCATACTGATTTCAGTTGTTGCTGGAGAGGGTCGGTGAAAGATTGCGACTCCTTCTGGAGCACGAGTTTGGATAGCTGACGTGTTGGCTTAGACACGTATTTCTGAGGCTAAATGGATGTAGATAAACCACAATAACATGACCATTGAGAGAACAGCTTGAAATGAGAACACTTACAATGCTCTCATCGAGATACTGGTTGGGTAGTTATCAGGACAGAATATCACGCACTCAGGAGAAGCATGGCGCCATCTCCAGCCAGCTGCGAGAAGAACGCTGAACATTGTAGCCGGCTGTCAGAGGGTGTTTAGTGAACGTCAGTGGATCTCAACAACTTCTAAATGAATGGATGCGTCTTAATGCAGTACTTCTGGCTCCGAACATGAAAAGGAGAGAAAGCAACTCAAATGCATTCCGACAATAAGTCTATGTTACGACTGCGAGCAGCGAATACAGAAGAGATAGAGAAGGCATAGGTGACAGGTAACAGTAGACAGCTACATAGACTTATCTAGGAGTCTGGGACAAGAAGTCAACGGCTAGTGAAACCATAGCCAAGAAGAATGGCTCTGTAATTCAATCTCGGAAGACAAGCCTGGAACGATGCGTGCAACACTTTGAGGAACATTTCACCCTGCCTTCAGCTACTATCTCGTCATATCCTTTTGTCATTGCATCAGTAACGTAGGAGTTATGCGTGCAGTTTTCTGTAGAAAAGTCATTTGGTGAGGTTGTGAAGCTTCAAGTTCATCCTCTCTGTTTATCTGTTGAAAATTGACTTTGAGCCTGTTTTAGGATAAAAGCAGCTGATGAGAAACCCGAAATAGAATGTATCCATACACTTCTGTAAGAGCTGCTGTTCTAGCTTTTAAGTAATGGATTCAAGCATTTCAACTCCAAAGTAATCAGTGAGTTGAAAGAAAGCATCCTAATTCTGCCACTATTGTTCTTGTTGCGTTATTCAAGAATGTAAAAGGGAAGAAATGTATGAATTTCCTACAAAAAGCAGGTATTATGACAACAGCCACACAATTCGTGGTTAAGAAAAATGTCTTACCACAATACGGCTTTTCGAAGGAATTATGCTATTACCTAAAAGTAGACAGCCAAGAAGAGCGGCTGATAGCTTAATTTTAAGCAGCCTATCCACTCAAACACACAGCTGTCCATCCGAAGCAAAATATTGAGCCACATCATCCTGGAGAGACTAAAATATGCTCTGTGTTCAAAATTATGACCGGAGCAGACTGGCTGTCTCGATCAAATCGCAACCCAACACTACACATCATCATAGAACAGAGCATAGAATGGCAGTCAACTCTCTCTCTCTCAACTTCATCGACTTTGAAAAGGCCTTCGACAGCGTCGACTGAGAAGTAATCTGGCAGCAACTTCAGCACTACGATTTTAGTATCACAAACCTTTATCAACCTCATTTAACACCTATATGCTATATAGTGCTACATGCTAAGTGATTCACAATGGAAAGCTCAGTGGTGTCATTGAAGTGAAGACAGGAGTAAGACAAGGTCGCCACGCACTATCACCGATTATCTTCCTGATTGTGGTCGAATGGACTGGACTGGACTGGATCATGCAACAAACTGTGAGGAGCGAGAAGATGGGCATACGCTGCTTGGACTGATGAAAAGACTCTGGAAGATTTGGATTTCGCCGCCGATGATGATTTATGTCTGGTGTCTCACGTCCCACATACTCGAAGATTTACAGACGAAAACCAACAAGTTGACAGAGGAGGCAGGGCAGCAAAGACGAGACTTCAGGTGAACGTAGAGGAGACAGAGGTGATGAAGACACCCAACCAGCAACAACAAGCACTAATCATCATCAACGGGAGAAACCTAAAGAAAGTAGTCTCTTTCACCTACCTAGGCAGCATTGTTTCAACTACAGATGGTGGCACAAATGACTATGTCAAAGCCAGGATCGAAAAAGCAAGACAGGCCTTCCTGCATTAACCGGAAATCAGTGTGGAGATCTACTGAACTGCACTCAGCATAAAGAATAAGATGCGGATTTTCAACTCCAATGCCAGTCAAGTCGGTGCTTCTATGTGATGCTTCAGAGACTTGGTGGGTTACGAAAAGCATTTCCAACAAACTGCAGACATACATCAACAGCTGCTGACTACGCTCACTCAATACCGACACTGAAGATCAGATGGCCAGAATAATAAAAATGAGCAACAAGGACCTCTGGCTGGCTGGCTGGCAACCCGCCAACCAAGAACCCATCACCCAACAAATATGCAGAAGAAAATGGGGATGGATTAGAGTGAGCATACACCGAGAAGACTGTTTGGGGACATCACGCGCCAGGCCAGGTCAGGCTGTCAAGTGGAATCCGAAGGGGAAACGACGAGTTGGGCGTCTGAGGGTGACAGGGAGGAGATGGTGTGAGGAAGAGATGAAAGCTTGTGGGTAGTCATGCAGCGAGGTTTAAAAGACTGCAGAGAACAGAATGCAATGGATGCATGCTACTGAAGCCCCAATGTTCTACTAAGAACCCCAGGGGAAAAAAATAATCCACCCAAAACAGCCTTCATGTCAAGAAACATGAATGCAATCGATTTGCAATGCAAGCAATACAAATGAAGATTTCGAAAGAAAGCAAGGAGAATGTAAGTGCAACTTCAATCTCAGTGAAATCGAGTTAAACGTTTAAGGAGGAATTTCTCTGGCATTTTGGATGCACTGTGAAGTTTGATATTCCACAAAATATTCATCAGAGTATATAAACTATTTCGAAGTTGTGCAGTATAACGGCGCCACTACAATACTCAACTTGCGTCATGCTCTAGAACAATTCTGGTAGTTTCCTAATCAAAATATTCTTTATTTCTCCAAGCAGTGATTCATGAAATGTTCCCCTAATCTCTTCCTCAGTAGCTGGATTGATATAAATGAGTCATGGTGAACATGAAATTTCCTTCAGGAAGAGCGTTTATCCCACCACAAAATGAACGAATTCTACATGTGATTTACTAAGGCCAAAATCAGATCATCCGAAGTTAACTGCAGTATGAGTTCAGTTTACAGTGACAGAAGTAAGAAACCAGGTAGTACAAAGACGATGTTGAGCTTTGAAGTTGCTGTTAGTAGTAACTTATTTATCATCTGCACAAAGATGCAGAAGATTTCTATCACAACCTAGTTTTCAGAAGAGCTGTCACATATCGTAGTAAAAAACAGTTTTGTGAAAGCAATTGTTTGACAAATTCAGACGAGCTAAAAGTCGGAACAACGAGAGGTTTATGCAGGGAATGAAACAGATGTGAACCAGATTAGCACGATTTTCATAATCTTAAAGATTGCATGGTGTTTGTGATATCTTTGAAACAATTGGTGCCTTCGATAAATTTGTAAAGTGTAATGAGTAGACGGAGATTATCTGAGAAATGTGACGTATTCGCGCGATACGTTTCGAACAGTCTGATCATACGTTAACTTGTCACCAGAACATTCAATCCAAACCACGTCGATGTCCATGATGGAGACAAATAGGAACGACAAAACCAGTAGCTGTACTCTAGTGTAAACAGTGAGTTAAGTCAAATTTAAAGGTGATCAATTTTTTCAAAATAGCAAAATCTGCTAGCAACACTGGTCAAATAATTTTCCTCGATGAACATTACATACCTACTAATGTTAGGACCAAAAAACTTGATCGCTTTCTGGAAACGATCCTGTCAAAATTAGTATATAGGATAATCTCTGGAGGAAACGTAGATTGGAAATTGTAATGACAATAAAAGAGTAAAACCCATTCAGCATGAGTCGTATCAGAAAAATTAAGTACTTTTTAGACTATATGTACATATTGTACGTTTATTTTTCTGCAATATAAACATAAAATAACTTCTTTCGCTGGATGAAGAAGTCTTTCATATTGGATCTATTGCACGGCTTCGGTATAAATTACTTTTCATTTTTTGAAGGAGCAAAGTGATGTCTTAGAAATTAGGATGCAGCTAGATTACAGCCAAAAGTACACAGATGTACGCTTATGATGCCGCAATTGAATGTACCACTGCAAAGAAGATTCGAACGATCTACAAGATAACTCTATACTAAGGCATAATCAATAGTGAACTGTGATAAATGTTCAGTGTTCTACGACCCTTGACGTTTGTTTTTGGACGCTTCATCACCATGCTAGGTGACTTGATCAACCTTTATAAAGAAGTGAACTGTATCTGAAGATAATTTTGATTACAAATCAAATGAACGGCTGTCTAACGGATTATAACTCACGAGCGAATACATAAAAAAATCTGGAAAAAATTAACTTCGGAATTTTTAAGTGAATGGCGTTGACTTTTACGGGATTTGATAAGCTTAACACAAAAAATTAGTCGAACAGACTAAAACGCCAGCGAAGGAAATCAGAATTTTAACAGCACAGAAACATAACTAAAGTGAGAATTGAATACGGTTGACAGAAATATATAGGGATAATATTACCTCGCCTCTGTTGTGTCTCCGAACTGAAAGACCTAGATCAGGCACATCAGCAAGTTTTACTTGTATTCTGGAAGTGATGGCACCGACGTGATCTGTATTACATTCTCCTAACACAGTTAAACTGGCTACACCAGAGATTTCCGTCGATCCATATCCCGCAACGATCTAAAGGCAAAAATTAACAGCAAAAGACAAATATAACAATAAAATTCGGAGCTTAATTTACAAAACAAAGATTTGATGATGTATGGTTTTTCATATTAATAATCCGCCGACTGGTGGCATGCTATGACAGCAAACGAAGTTTGTAGTAATAGATTACTCGTAATGGTTTCAGAAAACTGCATTCTAGTACCGAAAACAAACAACGAGTGTATGGAAAGCAGGATTTAATGAATTCATAACTATATGGAGAACTCTTCAACTGAACATTCTACATACTTGGTAATAAATACTATAGGGTGAGGCAGACAAGTGCATTTAAATTCAGGACAATGGATAAGGCTTAAAAAAATAAGGATTTTTAACATTGTTGGGCACACTTGTGAAAGGGGTGGGAGGGGTATGAAATTGACTGAAAAATTACTTGGGTTAAGGTTTACTTACACTACTGTGAATAGAACAGTTGATAATCCTTTAATTAATGCATAGTAATAGATCTGCTCATCAAACGGAACAAGTTAGTAGGGAAAATAGGAATAAAACAAAAACAAAAAGAAGTAACTAAAAATAACGATTAACAAAAGGAAATTTATAAGCGAATTCATAGTACATCAAAGACGCCACCAAGTTCGGTTCATGAACCCGAATTGCACAGGCTTCTGAGGTCCTAAACGGTTTCTTATTTCAGTGTCTGCTGACCACTGTAAATGCTTCGAAAACGCTTACACCGGACCTGAAGTCTAGTAGGTGTCCAGTTAAAGAACTTCTTCGGACCTTCACTCCACAAATAGCTAACCATCTAGAAACCAACACCGAAAATCGAAGGATTTACCTTTCTTCAAAAATCACCAATAATTCAAACTAAAGAAGGTACAGTTGCAGAAACCAGTTTATTGAAGTCACGAAGAGCTCATGATTCAGAGTGAGAAATGCTCTTTGATTAGCAGTCGCCATCAAAACAGCATAAAAGTTTATTCACTATTACTTAACCTTCGGGTTCTTAGAGGAACACTGCAGCTTCAGTAGCATGCATCCATTGCATTCTGTTCTCTGCAGTCTTTTAAACCTCGCTGCATGACTACACACAAGCTTTCATCTCTTCCTCACACCATCTCCTCCCTGTCACCCTCAGACGCCCAACTCGTCGTTTCCCCTTCGGATTCCACTTGACAGCCTGACCTGGCCTGGCGCGTGATGTCCCCAAACAGTCTTCTCGGTGTATGCTCACTCTAATCCATCCCCATTTTCTTCTGCATATTTGTTGGGTGATGGGTTCTTGGTTGGCGGGTTGCCAGCCAGCCAGCCAGAGGTCCTTGTTGCTCATTTTTATTATTCTGGCCATCTGATCTTCAGTGTCGGTATTGAGTGAGCGTAGTCAGCAGCTGTTGATGTATGTCTGCAGTTTGTTGGAAATGCTTTTCGTAACCCACCAAGTCTCTGAAGCATCACATAGAAGCACCGACTTGACTGGCATTGGAGTTGAAAATCCGCATCTTATTCTTTATGCTGAGTGCAGTTCAGTAGATCTCCACACTGATTTCCGGTTAATGCAGGAAGGCCTGTCTTGCTTTTTCGATCCTGGCTTTGACATAGTCATTTGTGCCACCATCTGTAGTTGAAACAATGCTGCCTAGGTAGGTGAAAGAGACTACTTTCTTTAGGTTTCTCCCGTTGATGATGATTAGTGCTTGTTGTTGTTGGTTGGGTGTCTTCATCACCTCTGTCTCCTCTACGTTCACCTGAAGTCTCGTCTTTGCTGCCCTGCCTCCTCTGTCAACTTGTTGGTTTTCGTCTGTAGATCTTCGAGTATGTGGGACGTGAGACACCAGACATAAATCATCATCGGCGGCGAAATCCAAATCTCTAGAGTCCTTACATCGGTCCAGCAGCGTTGCCCATCTTCTCGCCCCTCACAGTTTGTTGCATGATCCAGTCCAGTCCAGTCCATTCGACCACAATCAGGAAGATAATCGGTGATAGTGCGTGGCAACCTTGTCTTACTCCTGTCTTCACTTCAATGACACCACTGAGCTTTCCATTGTGAATCACTTAGCATGTAGCACTATATAGCATATAGGTGTTAAATGAGGTTGATAAAGGTTTGTGATACTAAAATCGTAGTGCTGAAGTTGCTGCCAGATTACTTCTCAGTCGACGCTGTCGAAGGCCTTTTCAAAGTCGATGAAGTTGAGAGAGAGAGAGTTGACTGCCATTCTATGCTCTGTTCTATGATGATGTGTAGCGTTGGGTTGCAATTTGATCGAGACAGCCAGTCTGCTCCGGTCATAATTTTGAACGCAGAGCATATTTTAGTCTCTCCAGGATGATGTGGCTCAATATTTTGTGTGTGGTGGACAGCAGCATGATTCCGCGCCAGTTCTTCTTCTCCCAAGGACTTCGGTCTCCCTTCTTTGGGAGTTTGACAAGGTAGCCCTTCTTCCAATCAATCAGCAAGTACCTTTCCTTCCTTCCTTCCTCCTTCCTTCCTTGTAAACCTTCTGCAATAGAAGTGTTGTAAGCATGTCCGCTGCAAATATGTCTGTGTCTGTTCTCAGTGCTTCTGGAGGAATTCCATCTGGTCTTGCTGCCTTCCTGGATTTCAGTAACTTTATGGCGTTCAGGACTTCACTACTGCTTTTGTCGGAGGATTTGTGTTCACTGGTAGTTGTGTGGCTAGGCTGCTGGTGGTGCTTCTGGAAGACTTGCAGATGGTGATGGTGGTTGATTCAAGAGTTTTTTGAAGTGGCCAGCCCATCGTTTCCTTTGTTTCTTCCCTTTGGTGGTAACTAAGTTTTTACTTCACTATCTTTCAATGGTTTCATCTGTGTTGACCTCTTCCCTCCCAGATAGTAAGTGAGCTGATTATTTGATATAATGTTGTCAGGTGTCTCCTACCTGCGGCCTGCTCTGCTTGACTTGCCAGTGTGTCGTAGAAGGAGTGTCTTTTGTCTTTGCACGCACTCTTCTTCACTTCTTTGTCCAGTGTAGTGTTTTGCAGGTTGTACTGAGTTCCTCTTTTCGTTGTTCTTCCCCGCACTGCACCACTGGTTCATCTTCTGCTTCACCACCACTATCTTCCTCTCCCTGCTCTATCAGCTTCTATGTATCCGTCGAGATCCATCTTGTCTCGTCTTGTTTCTTCCTCTTGCTTCCTAACACGGTTATGCAGGTTTCCTTCCACGTCGCTTTCACAGATTTCCAGTGTTCTTCCACACAGGGATGTTGCTTAATGTCTCCCATTTTGTCCTGATGACTGGGTGACGTGAAGATGTCGCTTGTAGTTACGTGCTTCAGTTCACTTTCTGTTCTGGGTGTTCAAATTGAACTGTGGTCTATCACCAACTTCTTCTTTGAAGGCTTTCAACTTGGTTTCGAAGGTAGGTTGGTTGCATTAGATAGTGAGTGGTGTGAACCTGCATTTGCTCTTCTCCTTCTTCTTCTTTTTCATCTTGTGTCCAGTCCAGTAGGCTGCGTCTCCACTTTCTTCAGATTGAGATGAATTCGATGTGATTTTTAGTGTAGTGTGTCCTGGTGTCTGGTGAAATCAAATCTATGTCACTGCTTTGTGAATATCCTTGTGTTTGTACACGCTGCCTCGCCTGCAATCACCAAGTCGTTGAATGCGCAGAAGTCTGAAAACAGTTCTCCGTCCTCATTCTTCATTTCGCCGAGTGCCTCTCGACCCATGATGAGTTCTCTTGCTGTGTTATCTACTCTTAGTTTGGCATTCATGTCACCGATCAGAATTTCGATGTCGCCAAGTGTGGTAGGGTCATGTCCAGTACTGATGGCAGTCGTCCATTGTCTAAAAGTTAGTCACTTAGATATTTTAAAGGATAACTATCAGCATGGTCGAATCTGTTGCGTTTTTCCGAAGTCATAGCGATAAAAAACCTTAACACTCGTTGTTCGTAAGTTTTTTCAGTTGTATTCTTCTTGATAACCTCGCCTGGTAAACTGGTTCACTAGTTACTAGCCGGTCCTAAGCCCGGGTAAAGAGGGAAGGTTGGGCATAGGGCTAGCAACCCCCACCGCAAAACCAGTCCAACCGTAAAAAAAATTCAAAGCACAAACGAAATATAAAAAATAAAAACAATATTATTCCCCGCTGGAATCGGAAAGGCGAAATGACGCCAGTTGTTCTAAGCCTTCAGGAAGCCAATTAGCCGATGTGTCTTCTCTCCCTCGATGAAAGCGAAAGTAAACGTGGGGACACGGAATGTCCGCACGATGTTTGAACTCAGCAAGGCAGCCCAGATTGCAAACGAGATGAAGAGGTATCACATCGAAATGCTTGGAATTTGCGAAAGCAGATGAAATGGAATTCGACTCTCCAAACTGTCAACTGGAGAATCAATAATCTACTCCGGTCACCCAGACGACAACCACGAGCACACTGAGGGAGTCGCTATCATGATGTCCCCGAAAGCATCGACGGCCCTCATACAGTGGGAACCGATCTCCTCATGCAGGATCATCACAGTAAGGTTCAACTCAAAAGGAAGGAAGGTCACAATCATACAATGCTACCTGACGCACCTACAAATAATTCAGAGCAAGAGAAAAAAGAGGAATTCTACAGACAACTTCAATCAACACTGAACAAGACCTCAGTTGGCAATATCAAAATTCTAATGGGCGACATGAATGCCAAACTGGGAGCAGACAACACAGGAAGAGAACTAACCATGGGTCGAGAAGCACTCGGTGAGGTGATGAACGAGAATGGAGAATTGTTTGCAGGATTCTGTGCATTCAACGATTTGGTGATTGGAGTCAGGCACTGTGTTCAAGCACAAGGATATCCACAAATCGACGTGGATTTCACTTCACCAGATGGACACACTAAAAATCAAATCGACTTTATCTCAATCTCAAGAAAGTGGAGATGCAGTCTACTTGACACAAGGTCAAGAAGAGGAGCAGATGTAAGTCTGAACAAGTTGGCAGAAGAGGCGAGGCAGCGAAGACAGGGCTTCAAGTGAACGTAGTGGAGACAGAGGTGATAATGATACCAAACCGATGCCACCGCCAACAACAACAACAAGCTCCAATCACCATCAATGGGAGAAACCTGAAGGAAGTAGCCTCTTTCATCTATCTAGGCAGCACTGTTTCAACTACAGGCTGAGGCACAGACGAGGATGTCAAAGCCAGTCAGGATGGGAAAAGCAAGACAGGTGTTCATTAGCCTGAAACCAGTGTGGAGATCTTCTGCACTGCACTCAGCATAAAGCGTGAACAAAATCCGGATTTTCAACACCAATGTCAAGTCAGTGCTTCTACATAGTTCAGAGACTTGGCGCGTCACGAAAACCATTTCCAACAAACTACAGACATTCATCAACAACTGCCTACGCTGGCTCGTTACTGAAGATCAGATGGATTGCCAGAAATAATAAGCAACAAGGAACTCTGGCTATATGGCAACGAACCAACGAATCAAGAACCTATCACTCAACAAATATGCAGAAGGAAGTGGAGATGGATTAGAGTCAGCATACACTGAGAAGGCCGACTGGGGACATCACGCGTCAGGCCCTCGAGTGGAACCCAGATGGGAAACGACGAGTTGGGCGTCCGAGGCGAGGGTTACATGGGGGAGGTCGTGCGAGCAGGAAATGAGAGCTTCTGGGCTGTCATGGAGCCAGGTTCAAAAGATTTCAGAGAACAGAGTTCACTGGAGACGTGCTACTGAAGCCCTATGTTCCACTAGGAACCCAAGGGACAAATAAAAATAATAATAATATTTCTTGATGATCTGATTTTTGACTGTTACTTGTGGATGTAAATGAAGTACATCAAGAGAATTATTTTTCGGAAAAAAAGCTACCTGTGTCATTGCAGGCTTATGAAGAGATAATGACCGTTGTATCCATCACGAATCCGTATTTTCATCATTTTTATATACCTTTTTAGCGATGAATTGAAGAGTATAATTAAAAGTGTTGCTGCAGTTCACTCTGTTCTATTACATGGCTGAGAAATGTGAGCATTAAAGACAGAGGACACGAGAAGGTCCCAGGTGTTCAACCACCGTCACCTACGTAGCACAGACCGTATGTCACAGTCTCACTAAGTCAGTAATGCAGAATTCAGATGTAGAGTTTTAGGGTGGAGAGGAAAGTCAGTTTATACGGTTGTGAATCTTCATCGACTGAGATGGCTGGGACATGCGTTACGCATGCCTAGTCACTGTCTGCCTCGCCGTTAGCTGAAGTGAGTTCATTATGGAGAAAGGTTCGGGGTGACCAGAATATAACATGGCGTCACTGTATGAATTAGTTGACTGTTGGTCTGAGCCATGTAATGGAATTCAAACTTCTCTGTTAGAGTCCGTTACAAGAGAAACCAATGGTTGGAGACTCTACGTGATATGGCTCAGAATCGATGTCAGTTGTGCAGACGTATACACATACTATCTCAATATTAATCCCTATACTGAATCCAGCATTTTCTCAACTCTGCTTCCTCTCTTTGATTACTTCCTACTGTTTTTGATCGGTTTTTCTTTCTTTTTTTATCTTTCATCTTACTGCTTTTTTGGTTGATGTGACGTAACGGGTGGCAACTTGTACCGCTGTGCAGTAGTGTCTAGTCCTATGCTGATGATAATGACAATGATAACATTTGATTTTATAGTTGTGTTATCTCGTATTTTTGATTTTAATGGTAGTAAAAGTTTCCCCATCTTCTGCATAAATGTTGTGTAATTCCTATAATGCATACAGGGTTTTGATTCGATGAACCTAGATTGCAGAATGTTTGTTGAGAGATTTGAATCTAGGTGACTTAAACGTCTCAAGGATTGGTTGACGGGAAAGACAAACATATGCACGGATAGATAGACGAACAAATATTTTTTTAAATATCATGATTGATGACTACTAAAAGAAACTCATAGCCATAAAAGTGATAAAAATGTGTGGAAGGATTTTGTGAGTAGACTACGCACGAACCGGTAATAAAGAAAATTAATATGAACATATGAAAAAAATGTTTTAACTACAGTAACGACTGATTATTTTAATAAAAGATTCATAATTACTGAACAATAAAAATGAACACTTACAAGGCCGTTGAAAGCAGCACGGAAAAAATTGAACACATTTGGCGAAATCGGTGCACCGCCAGTAATTATCATACAGACTCTTCCACCAAGAGCCATTCGAAGCTTTTTGAAAAAGAGTGTATCAAGAATGTCTCCATGGTTTATTTTGCCACTAAAAATATAATAATCAGTCGAAAACAAATGACTTATTCGAAAGCCTATATCAAAGTGCAATTGATGCTACCAATAAACAATTAAATAAGCCTACAGATAATTACTTCGGTAATCCTCTAGAGTTTCTACATTCCATCAACTCAGTCTTTGGGGACAGAATTTCCATTGCTATACAAAATTATATATATATATATATATATATATATATATATATATATATATATATATATATATATATATATATATATATATATGGCATTCTCAAACTTTAAAGGATGCAAAAGAATGATTTAGTGACTTCAAAATTTGAGCAAACTGGGTAATCATTTTCTCAGTCCATCACCTGCCATGCTTCGAACCCTTCAGTAAACAGTCCTGTCACTCGATATTTATTTTAGTTGAATTATTTGATCATCTAGGAAATGAATATGAATTCACATAACTAATAATTCACTAGAATTTCTTGTCACTCCACTAGAAATAGTCAAAAACAATCCAGTTACACTGCAGAACATAAGCATTCATTTCAAACTAAAGTTTAATCAATGTTTCTCGTATACCCGCATCACAAGAAGGAGATTTTATGACTCAGTGGATAACGCTCTGGCGTTTGAAGTGACTGGTCACGGTTTGGGTCTTAGTGGGACCAATATTGCTCACTGGGAGGCAGGTACATTCGACTGACGAGTCCTAAGTAGGACGAAGCGCACGTATTGGATTTCACTCCTAGTTTCTATCCGTCACTAATACAAAGTTTAATTAAATCTGTGACTGACATAAAATAGTCTAAATGGTTTAGACCTCTTAAATAAAAACCAACCCACTAGTTACTTGGTAGAATAAAAGATTGTATTTGGAATCGTTGTTTAATGACACAATAATCTCTTTGCATAATACAATTCTTCCTACTGCGCGAATGTAGTTAAAATTTAAATGATAATAAACTTTAAGATGAGTAGCTGTCGAACAGGTATAAGATAATTGATAATACAATGAAAACTTAAGAGACCATGCGCATCAGGAACTAATTAGTCTTCTTACCTATTAAGAACTCTTAAATTACGTTTCAAAGTATAGTTAAATAGATGCCGTTTTAGAAGTGAGTCGCCAAGTTGTGATTGGTATTTCTCGTATATGCGTGACAACACACGTGGAACCGCAGGAATAACAGTAGGTTTCAGTGCTTTAGCATCATCCAATAAACCCGTAACTGATCCTGTGAGAAATCCGATTTGTGCTCCACACAAAATAGCGACAGACTGCAAATATGAATAAATGAGACTGATAATAATGGAAAGAGATCCGTAAAATAACGTTTATCGTGAACTCTTCAAGCTAATGTGTGATGAAACTGATGCTACTCAACTGTAAGATAGTCTTTGACACTCAATTTTTTAAAATCAAAAAATCACTCATGCAACCCTTTCATCGGTCAGACACAGACCAACATCAATCGTTCAGTATAATAGCCATCTTGTTCAAAAAGTCCTAGAACTTTATGGTTAAGACCATAGATCTTTGATTTAGTCTTACAATTAGATTTTCATTGCTGATTGAACTTCAACAAGAATGAGTCAGACAGCCGTTTGGTAGAACAAGGAACCTTTGTTTTCATGATAAACTCAATGGCTTATCGACTGTATTTTAGAGATACCTAAGGATAAGCGACCAAAGAACTTTATCAATAAATACGGGACAAACCAGAGGCGGGTAAATTTTGCTTAAGTTGAGATAAAGTTAGTTCTCATCCACTTCCCTTTTAAGAAATTATGTTTAAAAATTGGGTATTTCTTCTGTCGAAAATTATCCAGCAACTAAAAAACCTCCTGAAGGTCATCTGGTTGACTTGCAGTATGCAGACGACATTATCCTGCTAGGTGAAGATAATGGCCTAGTGCAGGGTCTTCTGAGGACATTGAGTATGTTTGGCATGCGTTTCGCATCTGTCAAATGTAAGATGATGATCAAGGACTGATCTGCAACCACTCCCTGTTTGCGCATAGGAAGTGAAGTGGTGGAATGTGTCGGCTATTTCACTTACTTGCAGAGTTACATCGGCTTGAACGGGCTAGTTGCTGAAGAAATCTCAGCTCGGATACAGAAGGTCCATTTACTATTTGCCAACCTGAGTTATTTCTGACACTCCACTGACGAGATATCCGACTATCTATCAATGGACAAGAATAATGCGCTGCAGTCCGTTCTATCCTGTTATAAGGCTGAGAAATAGCGGGTAAAAGTAGAAAACATTAGGCGGTTGCAGGATTTTGATCACAGATGTCTTCGTAGCATTGTTTGCATTTGGTGGTATCATCGTGTGAGCAGTGCTGAGATCAGGCGAAGGGTACAAGACAGGATGGCAGGCAAGTCAATTGATGAGGTTGTGAACCCTAGCCGACTCAGATGGCTTGGAAATGTACTGCGCATGCCTCGAATCGGCATGCTAGGGAAAGTTTGGATTAGGTTAAAAGGGGGTGATCAGACCAAAAAGTGGTACCAGTCGATGAAATCCCTGACTACTGGTCTGAGCCGTGTAGTGGGTGAAGATGCCGAGACGATATGAATAAGTGGTTGAGGGCTCTTGGTGACATGGCTGGAAATCAGTCACAACGGTGCGGATGTATTCACTCTTTGACATCTTCTAAACCTTGAATATTTGCACTAATCTTTATCTCCACATTGTTTATTCTTTCGCACACATTTGTCTATTTTGAAACTACTATTTTTCTATCCATCTGTTCTTTGTGTACTACTGTGAAGTGTGGCAACTTATGTGCGAGGTTATAAGTTGTTTCTGTACTTCTGTCTGCGATACAAAATGGTGCGATGAGTAAAACACTGCATAGCAATGAAGAATCATAATTCGATTATTCGCAAAACTTAGCAAATGAGCCTTCAGAATATAAAGCTGAACAAAATCACATTCTGCTTTTGAACTTCCAGAAACACAAAAAGTTGATAATTCCGAACGAAGAGCATACCAACATTAAGATGCAGACATTTACCTAATTTCGTAAATATTCAGTATAAAATGAACGTAGATAAAAATTTGACAGTAAGGTGAAAATATACACTGGTCACTTAATACAGATCAGTTACAGTATATAACTGGCACAACGACTGAAATATGTTACTCAACAGATTATTCGGCTTTTAGAACTTATTATAGGACACGAAACTGAATAGTTTAGCGATCAGAATTATATCGTCACCCATTAAACTATATTTCACAACAACCTAGGATAGCAAAGTTCTACACCTAAGACAATCTAGAATCAAAGCCCAATTTCCAGTTAATCAATCAACGTTTCACAGGAGGAAATTAATGACTTAATTTTTTTGTCTCTAAAAGTTGATCGATTCCTGTGGAGAAAGTAATCTATCGCATACTGCTAGAAAGCTAAACGAACATGTTGTTGAGCGGTAAACTTGCTGATCAGCATAGTTACATAGCTGTTGATGGAGAAACACAATCTGATCGAATTCCCTCGGAATTCGTGACATAGTTTAACAAAATCAGTCCATTTAAAATTATCTGTCGCATTACAACGAATGTTTCGAATGCTTTTTGAATTCATAAGATGATTAACTCGTAAATGATTTGAACGGCTCACATTGACATTTCTCACAGCTGAGTTTTTCAATTGTCCAACTATTTTTTCAACAGCCTGAATATTTTCTAACTACGCAAGTAATTCAGTAAAAGATTCCGATAGTTTGTGACACCTTGTAATCTTGGCTGGGTGGTTTCTGACAGGAACCCTGTTAACAACACAGTCGAGTGGTTGGAAAACTACTCAGCTGAGAGAAATATCAACGCTGACGACGCAATTTGTAAATCATTTGCAAACTGACTGAATCCAAGTGATTCAGGTGATCTTAGAAATTCGGCCCCGTGAGCCATCCAGTGTTTATATCACTCTGATCTGACTGGTGAAATGTAAAGACTAGCCTGAGTGGATTTTAACTACTCAGGTTATTGAGTAGTATAGTAGTGGGCGTTGCTGATAAAAAGGATATAAGTAGTATATATTGAGGAGGTGGCAGGAATCATAGGGAATTACCAGCAATGGGTAAGGTTTCTGCGTGGTGAACGACCGTACTTCGTTGCCACTGTTCCTGTTTTCGTGTTAATAACTGCACTCACTTCTCTCAGAAAATCAATACCTAGGAGTGGCCGTTGTAGGCGCGAGGTCACAATAAATGGGAATCTAATTTTCCGGCTTTCGATCTCAACAGCGCAATTTGATACGCCTGAGATATCCAGTGCATGTACCCCAACCGTGTGGACCGTTAGCGCACATGGTCTTGTGTTGTGAGACTGACTCTTATCTATTAGTGAGACTGTATCTATGAGACACACGATCTCCCGTCCATTTATTCAGATTCTAGCATACACCGCACCTCGATCAATGGCTCCTACAATATCCAGTCTAGTCGGAAAAACAGAGCTCATATCATATCGTTCAAAACGTTTTCTTTTCCGCCTCTCCGGACAATTCCTTCGCCAGTGTCCCGGTTTCCCGTATGCGAAGCATTTACTCTGTTTGTTGACGCTCATTCGCAATGCTGCTATCTTTTTCTGAAGGTTTTTGATTAGTTCTTGCCAGTTATTTACCTCTGGTGACTTAACTGCCACTACTCCTGTACCCACTAACTGTCTGGTCACCTTGGCCATTGCACTAATGTCGATGGGTTGGGCTGCATTGACTAGTCGTAACTGGTGGGCAATGGCATTCGGGACACTTTAGTGAACTGTGCAGCCAGCAACTGTTGTTGGGCGTCCTTATCCAATGTCGAAGCAGTTTGGTCAACTTCACAGGCAACACAAGCGGATCTTCGTTTATTCCCAGTTTCGTGCTGCAGAACCTCTGCATCGCCAGCTCCCCCGTCCGCTGGGCTGTCAAACTCCGCCTCCAAGCGTCCAACCATTCTCCGCCAAGTCTCCTTCCCGTCACCACGTTGTCATATGCTGCTCTCGCTCTACGCCTCAGCAAAGGGCCCAGCACCACGCCCTTCGCCCTGGGTCTCGGATCCCCATCAGCTCCGCGACCGACTCGAAGTCTCTGAGGAAGACCTTGAAGTCTCCAGCCTTGAACGCTGCAGGCCGTAGAATCTTCATCACGTCCAGAGGCAGCGACAACAATTGAAGAGACAGAAGCCAGACACGACGGAAAGAGTATATAGTGATATCAGTAGGAACGGTAGTCCTTACATATGGTACACCTTAGACTAAACCCGTCATTTGCAAATGTGCTTCGTTTCCTTTTCTGTTCCTCTCTTGATTTTCTCTTGATCTGCTATTCATACATTCCTATCAGCAGCATTCACTGAATACGCCTGCGTTCTCCTTAGCGTTGCTCTTGATAGAAACCTTACCCATTGCTGGTAATTCCCTATGATTCCTACCACCCTCTCAACACATACTACTTATATCTATTTTATCAGCAACGCCCACTACAATATATTTATTTTAGATTCGTAATTTCTATAAAGCCGAAATTAAGAGTAGTACGACTAATAACAACAGTCTTTGTGTTCCAGAACGTTGGTGCCATCTTTGGTCTTTGCCTGATCAGAAAAGACTTACTAAATGTGCCTATACTTCAAACCAGTTAAGTTCACCCCTTCGAAAATGCTTACATTTATTTAGACTTAAAATATACATGGATTGTACGATTAAGCATTAAGGAAAGATAGATGGGTGGTACGAAGGTGTCTTTGGATTTACCGTTAACCTTCCGTCAGTTCATAGGAAGTCAATCGTACAAGCCTTTTTCTTGAGTGTACGTTCTGAAGACGTTGAAGCAGCTGATTCGTATCTAATGAATTTTCAGCGATTTGAGGTACAGTAACTCGTGACTCTTTTCTTTCCTTCTTCAGCACATAAATCAAAATATGTTTATAAAAACTTCTGGAATGCCTACTATAGCTATTCTTCAATCATCAATACTAAAGAGACTAGCCTTATTCTAACATCATTCTCAAACATTTGACATCCATTTGCATTTTAATTAGATTCATGCTTTGAGTAATTTGTGAAATCAACTTTGAGAAGCCCAAGCATCATGAATGTAGACGCCGGTTGAATGGCACGCAGTACCTGATTGCTTGTCTCAGGGTTATTTCCTTCCATTCTTTCCTAATAACGATGCATGAAAAAATCAAATTTTTAAACAGAAGTGTGCATTTTTAACCTCGTCACCACTTATGCCACGTCAGTAGGGGATACACGCGTGGATCTCCGCTCGATACCTCATAAACAGGATGAAACGGTGAAACGAAAATAGGTTTATTGTCAAGTTAAACGTTTACAGAATGTAACGACAGATACTAGTATTGTTACGTTTCGTAGGAATTTGCGTTTGGTCAAGCAATGTCTAACGATGTTCGCATTGGTTACTATTTTTCCGTGACTTGGACTGAAATTTATGCCATTGTGACCATGTTAGTTTATATACAGGTATTTAATACTGACTGAACGTTTATGAACTGTCTGGAAAACTGGTCGTGTAACCTGATTTTATCGGACTGTTTGAAATATTCCTATCCTTTTACTCATTGTGTCATTCTGAGGTACTAGTTCAAGTAAACAGTAAGTGAGAATTAATTAATTCATAATCCAATTCCGAAAATAACTGTGGAACTACTAAACGGATAAAACTAATCCAATGTAATTTCACACGTTATATTCACCTGTGCTACTAAACACCAAGAAGCTTACTGATTGAAAGATGTCAAAAAGGGAATGTGAACCTTTAATGACACACATGCACACAACATCAGTCAAGTTTCCGAAAATAACGCGTCAACATGAGGAAGAAATATTTTCAGAAAGATTGAGAATATGCTTGCAGTCATAATTACAAAAAAGTCATGTTCATCTCAAAACAGCATGTTTTAAATTGCCATAGCAACATACGATAACTTACAGAAGAAACCTGTTCCATAATGTGGGCAAAAGGTAAGTAAGAGAAGTGTACAGAATTTCGGCAGTACAGCTACACAAAATAAATTAGACAAAAGATTTTATGATAGTCAAATGGAAACAAATCACATGAAAAATGTGCGTAAAACACCTTAGTGATAAACTTAGTATTAGTATTACAATTTTAAAAAGTGTACATTAATGAGCATTAACTGGACTATTCTGACAAAATCAAGTGACTCCCACGAATTCCCCAACGTAAAAAACAGTTAAATATTACAAAGATTGTGATTAGGTGGTGATTGTAAAACGAAACCAGTAAGACAAAAAAATTTGATACTATGATTACGATCTGATATGATCTTGATGAAAACCGTATTTTTTGGGTCAACGTTGAGAACCGCTGCTAGCAAGTTGAACTAGCTGATTAAAGAAATAATCCATGATATTTTTGTGTATGATACATGTAGGGTGAAAAATCAGCTTTAGAATTCACTGTTTAGTTAGAGATCTTACAGATTTTCACTTTATTCCACCACATTTTGGAAGCAGAAATGTAATTCCGCAATATCAAACACCTTTTGGCATTGGAGAATGTGCTAAAATTACTGTATTGCTTCTCGTTATACAAATTTATCATCCAAACTGAAGCAAACGGTGTAATTTTAAGCCAATGACCCAATAATAAGTAGTTGAACACAAACAAAAGTGATATTTCACATTTTGAAGTTTCCTCAAGTATTCTTCAGTTTCAAGAGTACTTAACTGACTCAGTTTTCTTAATATACTTTCTACAGCTCACAATACAGAACTGTTACCTAGTTCTTACTTATTTACAACTATAACATGTACACTTAGATGCACATAAGTTGAGCCAGGTTTGCATTTTCTAATCGCCTGTATCCTAATAACCCAAACACTTGGACAAACGGATGATAAACACTCAAAAATTTTAACAAATACACTTCATGTAATTCAATAATAAGAACATATAAGAGAGTACAACACTGGTCCATATAATCTGTACAACCATCCATCCAAATCAACATAGGACTAGGTAACAGAAATAAAGTGATACATTCAACTGCAGTATATGTCTAAAAGCTAGTGAAGAAGATCGTCGGAATATACAGAAGATGTGGAAATCGGTTCATCGCAGAAAATACTCGCCCAGTTATTGACAAGGCATATGCAAACCTCATGGGGTTCGGCACATTAAAGTCAAAATAAATATGATACCAATAATCATAAATTGAATACATTTTTCCTAAGAAAATGTATGAGAAACATATTTTCCTGTAGCAAAAGCCTAGAAATCTTACCTTTCCTTCTGTAGATTCTACTGTAGAACAAACAGTATCTACCAAACTCTCATGTGTAATCATGACTCCTTTTGCAAGACCTAAAACGGAACGTAAATATTGATGCTCAATATCCTGTCCTAGTCTGAATATTTAAGGTAAAATACAAAAATTGCATACATAACATACACAGCATGTAACAAAAAAGTTAGGCAGAGTTATCGAGAAAACACAAATATCTGTCTCACATGACAGTCGGAAAAAGACAATCAGTGGTACGAATATTTACGTTATACTGGAAAAAACCAATGAAACACATCATTAACGAAATTTCTCCAAACTTCTTCGAGCTACTTCAATGACAATGACCAAAATAAACATCGATAGAACAAGGAACTAAATGAACAGCTTGCACAGTTAGGCTGACCATACTAATACTTCTTCTTTAAAGAGATAACACTATTCACATCAAAATCCAACCAACAACAAAACATCAATAAACAAACACCGAATTACAATATCTGCAAGATATCGTCGATTTGAAAACCTATGCATTTAACAGATGTAAAAGATGAGCAGAACGTGACTGAATTGTGAGATAAAAGAGATCATTAATCATCGGCTGAGGAAAACTCTACACGAAACAAGTTCTCATAAAATCCCACACTTGTCTAGCAAGTTTTATGCCAAATAATCTCATATACCGATTCACAAAACAGGCTAATACTTCACTTAATTTCTATGCAATAGTTTATCCTCATGTTTACTGGAGAATATGCATTGCATATTCATACATGTGATGATACAAAATTATAAAAGATCACTTGAAAACATCAAAAACCGATATACGCATATCACAGGATTTCAATGAACACAGTGTCGAGTCTCATCCATTCCCATACTCATTTCTGAACATAAGCAATTACACTTATTTGTCAATTATTCCTTTAGGGATAAAATACTTACAACACACAGGCATTACATTACTTGAAACATTACTTCAAAAAGGAATGATATCCTAGATACTCTCTTCAATAGGACACATATACACACATACATCATCTCACCTCTTCAGTCAGACTTTACCTACTCCAGTTAATGCCCACTCACATAGGACTAATACTGAATATTTAGAATTATTTGACACAACTACTTCCTTCTCAAACACCAAGGAGTAAGTTGCCACACAACGTGAAAACAGGGCGGCACGAGCAGAAGATTGCTTCAGAGACAAACCGAACCTCCCAACTTCGTTCGCCTAAACAAGGACAATCCCTTGGTGTTCTACTGACCTATATAAGTCAGTATTACGACATTACCAGTACAATATCACTTCTATTCCAGAGTCCCTTCCAGTCATTCTGTCACTGTAGAAGAATTCATTCGAAAGTTGGATATGGTGATAACAAATTATGATTTCTCATAATCAATCTACAATCATCTCTTAAGCAATACGAACTATAAGTTGTCCGAATTCTTTCATGATACATGCATCACTTGCAGTACTATGCTGAAAAAGTCAAACTATCGGCAATCTGCTTCCAATGAGTGTAACACAGATGAGGACCACTAAAAGAGGGCAGAAAGATAAATCAACGTAAAACCGCGCACGGAAAACATTAAAAAGACTGGAAATAGGAAAGATATCATTATACTTCCAGCAGAGAAAGGGTGCATCGCTGTAGTCATGGACAAGGAGGACTAAATCAAGAAGGTAAAGGATTTACCCAAAGACGAAAATGTATATGAATCACTTGAAACGAAGCATACCCAAAAGTTCGACAACCAAAACTTCAAGGGATAAGCAATAGTAAAGCAAGACAAACGGTAAGTTAAATCGAATGGACCTATCCTCCCTCAGTTTTACGCCAGACCAAAACTACACAAAGGAGACATACCGCTAAGACCATCAGTTTCACTTCCGGGAACTCCGACTTACGACATATCCTGAGAACTTTCGAGGAAGCTAAAATAACCTGTTCAATTATGGGTAAATCCCATAAAATTATCAACAGAATTCTTAGAAAGGATCAGAAGCATTAATAGAGAAAGTGACAAATTAATGGTATTCTTCGATGTCATAGCATTATACACATCAATCAAATCATAGTTGTCCAAGGAAACTATATCCCCCCTGCCCACTGCAGACATAAGTCTTTCAGAACACATGAAACTTAAATGTTCAAGTCTGATGGAACTCATCGACCGATGTCTGACAAAATACTTCCAATCCAACGGTAAGATAGACAAACAGATGAGAGTAACCCAATGGGATCACCGATTTCCGGACTAACTGAAGAAGGATTAATGCAGAGACTGGAAACCATCATTTTACCTGCGATCAAACCAAAAATTTGGTTCGGTATATGGACGATACCTTTATCATAGTTAAGAAAAATGATTTAGAAAACACTTAAAGTTTGATCAGCAACGTTTTCAATGACATCATATATACTATGGAGGAGTCGAACAACTAATTGCCATTCCTGGATGTTTTAGTCAGTAGAACGAGTGCTGGAAAACTGGAAACCCATGTGTACAGGAAGCCAACGCACACGGATCGAACCATCAACTACAGTAACAATAACGCACAAAATAAGCTGCATGCAGACTCTATTCAAAAAAGCGAAAACACATTATCGTACAACAACTTTAAGAAAGAAACAAAGAAAATTACTTGGTGTCTATGCTAAAGAACGGCTACCCGCGAAACTTTATCAGGAGATGCCTATGCTGTGCATCATCAACTACAAAGTCATCGACAGAAATCAAAAATCGGATCATCCTACGGTACATAACGAATATACCAGAGATCACGACAAGATTACTGAGACCACTTGGGATTGGTGGGGTTCATAAGCCAGTAAATTCCGTTTAAACTATATTATGAAGAACAGAGGACGCAATAGTCGAAGAAAACAAACCAAATATTATTCGGAAAATCAACTGCAATAATCTGTTCAACACTACATTGGACACTGGTCACCCTCTTCGCCTTCGTCTACATGAACATAAATTGGCTATTAAACATGACGGCATTTCATCACCCATTTTAATGCACGTGGATAATCATGAATATGAATTCAATTTTGACATTGTAGAAATCTTGGACAGGGGAAAGGAAAAGAATATCAGAGAATCAGTGGGAGCTTGGCATTCAGGTCAGGTATAGACATAGACCCAATCTACCAACCAATAAGAAGAATAATAGACATCAGAAAGGTCAGAGGTCAAGCAGAGGAACAGACAACAAAAAAACCCATGCGGTCAACGACGCAACAATTAAAGGGAACAACCAATCACAAAACAGTTCGTCAGGGCAAGTTACTGAATCACCCACGGAGAGATACAGACAACTCGATTCATATTGAAGCTAGTGCTGATGATGTCTAGAAATACGACGAAAGCTACCCGATTAAACAACCCACCTCAGAGAACACAATATAACCAAGAATATCAGTACTGATTGCTGAATGTGTGATGCAGTGGCTGGAATCGGTAGTCATTCTACTTATCGAGCCAAATACTTGCATCCGGTACGTTGACGACAGATTCATAATTCTCAAGGAAGACGACATAGAAAACACGTTTAAACTACTAAGCCAAATATTTGAAGGAATTTTCCTCGGAAAGTAGGAGGAAGCAAACAATGAAATTTCGTCCTTCGCTATCCTCAACAGTAGAATATACAATGGGACTTTACAAACTCAAGTGTACAGGAAAGCCAAATGCACTGATCAAATTTTAAACTACAACACAGTCATCCGACAATCCATAGGAAATGTTGTGTACAAACACTGATCTCAAGAGCCAAAACACATTGTAGCGCCGAATTACTACGGAAAACCGAAGAAAAATACCTCTACAAAAAGTTCGAAGCTAAAGTCAGATGGCAGTTAAATAAGATACCTTCTGACTGGTCTCAACCACTGATTATCCCAGTCTTCAGGAAAGGCGAGGTCTCTTAACAGAACCATAGAGGAACCAACCTGACAAACATAGTGTCCAAGATTCTAGGTTTTATGATCATTAGATGCCTGAGTGAAGCTCGGCAACAGCAAACCCAAAAAAACCAGGCAGGCTTCAGATCTGCCCGGGGGTGTAATGACAAAATATTTACACTGCCGGGTTCTGAAACACAGGTACGCTTACCGACGCCCTACAATAGCTATAATTCTCGACCTGAAGGTGGCATTTGACTCCTGTGAGTTTGCTAAAGTCGAGTAAGCCTCGTCCATCGAGTGGTGTTGGTGTCTGTAAAGTAAGCCCACTCCCCCACTTTTGTTTAATTTCACCATAGATGTTCTTATAGAGGTCTCGCTGTCGTCATCTGACTACAGAGGGGTTAACCTAATCACAGGAGAGTTTTTGGTTGAACTAGAATACGCAGATGACACAGTCCTGTTAGGTGAAGACACTGACAGAGTCTTCTGGACACTTCGAGTGGTAATCTTTGAATGCCTTTCACGCCACACACATGCAAACTGTTGCTCAAAGACTGGTCTTCAACGGTGTCCCAGCTAATAATAGGGAGTGAAGTGGTTGGGTGCGATGACCACTTTACTTACCTGGGAGGTCAGACCAGCCGTGGTGGCTCAGTCGCCGATGAAATCTCTCCATGAATACAAAAGGCTTGGTTGGCTTTTTCCAACGTGCGCCATCTGTAGCCCCGCGATATCCGATTTTCTATTAAGGGTCGAGTGTACTGTACTGCAGTCCACTCTGTTCTACTACATGGACGTGAAACACGACCATTAAAGGTAGAAGACTAGAGAAGGATTCAGGTGTCTGACCACCAATGCCTTTGTAGCATAGGCCATGTTTCGTGGTATCACCACGTGAGTAACGCAGAAGTCAGATGTAGAGTTTTAGGCAGGATATGTAAGTCAGTTGCTGTGGTTATGAACCTTCATCGACTGAGATGGCTGCAACATGTGTTATGTATGCCTAGTCACCGTCTTCCTCGTCACACACTGTTGGCCGAAGTAGGTTCAGGCTGGAAAAAAACTCGGGGTGGCCAGACTAAAACATGACATCAATGCATGAAATCCTTGACAGTTCGTTTGAGCCATTCAGGGCGATGCAGACTAGCAGGTTGTGGTTTGGGGACAAGAGAAGCCAGTGGCTGGAGACTCTGTGTGATATGGCTCAGAACCGATGTTAGTGGCGCAGATGTATGTACATATTATCCTCAAATTAACCGCTATATTCGATCTCAATCGCCCTTCTTATCTTTTACTACTTTCTACTTATTTTGACCGATTTTTTTTCTTTCTTCATCTCCTATTTTATTGCCTTGTTACTTCATATGCTGATGAGAGGTGCGGCAACTTGAACCTTTACGCAGTAATGCCTGGTCCTATGTTGACTTTGATGATGATGATGATAACGACGATAAATTACTGTCTCCCTAACTTTATCGAAAAGTGCTTATCAACAGAGTAATTACCTCAAGTCAATAGGCGCGTTACGTTACCCTACATCAATGATATCTCACAAGTAGTCAACCGATTGCTTCGTCCGTTCAGAATGAGAGTAGCCCACAAATCAAAGAAATCACCACATAGCATGTTGTGCAAACCAAAAGATTGTGAAAATGCTGCAAGGGATAAGTTGAAAACCTGAAACAGAATTTCAAGAAGTATGGCACTCAAACGATAAGTCAGTCAACAGACAACTACATGTAGACCCATTCTGTAATCGATTAAGAAAAAAAGAAAAACACCAATCCATCGACCAAAGGAAAATTGACCAAACAAATCAATAACGAAGGCACAATATGTCAGCAATAAACAGAACAATTTCACTTCAACAAAGATTATCTACCGGTGTGACTGAAGGAAATTTAAGGTCAAAGAGGTCAAGGCGCATTAAAAATCTCTTCCCCAACTTACAACTGGACAACAACCAAGATCATAATAACACTATCTAAACGTTCGTGTCAGAATGCAATACGCTTAACTTCTTTACAAAGTTAGTACTGAAGATGTCAACAAGCCTGGTGATGAAACGTTGAGGACAAAATATTAATGCTCAGAGAAAAGTAAAGCATCATTACTGGCTCTATATAATCCTTACATTCTCACTTTTGAAAGCACTACATAGTTGCTAGGAGAGTTAGTCGTTGTGATAGTTTCTAATATTTTAAAGAGAGTTTTTGAGTGAATTATTTCTGGTTCTCGTATATTTACCGAGTACCTCTTCTACTTCACAGATTCACCTGCCATCTTTCTTGAAGAGCTTTATAGATAAATAATCAAGTTTTGCTGGTTTGTAGTGTTTCAGCTTTAAAAGAGGCATATACATTTCCAGGAAAGTTGGAAGTCCAACATCTATGTCACATTTATATTCACTCTGAAAGTGGGCCGACTGAAGCTTGGTTGCATATTAAATGAACTGTTTTTCAAAGTCTTTTACTCAACGCTCAAAGACCCCTTATCCTGAGATGTTATCTTAAATCCATCTTCTTTGGCGGCTTTCTCGCTAATTAACGTCTTGTTCTCGTCAGTAACCTGATGAATCTGCATAGTTGACGAGTTTTAACTAATGATTATGGGTTTCACCTATCTTTTTTTCTATCACCTCCCACCACGGGTCACGATCACAAAAAATACCTTAGTCAGTCTACGGAAGTTGTTTCAGCTACCCATCGTGATCACAGACAGCTAAAATATAGCTCCTTAAATCAATACGTTCGGATGACGTTGTGGAAATTCGCTGACTGTAGGTTGCTAACTACCTTCGCTGCTATTTTTAAAATACACGAAACCCTAAGCCACACTCTACAGAACCAATGTGCGAGTTACTGCTGTGTTTAGATAAAGGTTTAGGTGGTTCTTTTGTGAATACGCAGGCAGTGTTCTCACCTTCCAACCGGGTAAATAGAGGTCTAACTGCTGCTTACCAGCTGTTCATACCATACACGGGTCCGTACTAATACGTGACTGTAAGATACTCATATATTAGGCAAAACCAAGTGCCAATTCCACTACTTTTCTCGTGCATCAAAACATACTGAGCTTGACCTTCAAATACACAACTCTTACTTACAATTCATTTAAGAGCAACGAGAAAACTTTCAAAGTATCTTACTTATAAAACGTCGAAGCCATCTTACACCCGTATAAAAAATACATCACAATTTGACAGAAGTACGAAAATGTCCACCCTAGAAAATAACTTCGCCTAACTGCGGATAATTATGTTCACATTCATTCCTGATATGATACTTAGGTGTTTCAAGGTTGTAAGGAGCTGATCAGAAACCGTTAAAATAAAATGGTATCATGTTATTCTGTTCCAATCGTTGTTCACTCTCCACTCAACTTCATCAAACGCAGTATGTGAATAATAAAACCTTTCGTTCACATCTGAAACAACACTGATTCATGCATATTACCACAATCCTAAATCCATGAACTAGTGTCCAAACCAACTACTTTGCAGTGCATAAGTTGTTTAACAGAGCTGAGTTCATCTTATTTTGAAAGTAGACAGAAAATATATTTGTTATCACCTATCTGCAACCTGAAATATCAAAAACATGAAACTATATGCTCAACGCCACAATCAAAATTCAGGATTTACTTTTCTTCAAAAATCATCTCTAATTCGAACTAAAGAAGGTAAAATAGCAGAAACCACTTTACCGAAATGTTTCGAAGAGCTTATGATTCAAAGTAAGAAATGCTCTTCGCATAACAGTCGCCATTTGAATAGTATAAAAGTCACCTAGATACTTTACAGAATAACTAATCAGCATTATCAAATCTCTTATGCTTTTTGTGAAGTCATAGGGATAAAAAGCCTTAACACTGTTCGAAAGTTTTTTTCAGTTGCATTCTTCAAGATGAACTAACATCAACAACAATGAAGTAAATTAAGAGAAATATTTTTACGAAAAAGCCGTCTGTAGCACTACAGGCATTTATATAATACCTTAAAAGTGAATACTTGCGTACAGAGAAACACAGAAGATACACTATCTGATGATAAATATTTAAGCGAAGCTGAGGAACATACGCAAACATAACATTTCATATGTCAAATTGAAATGAACAATAATTCAAAATTCCCACAGTATTCTATCCTACGAACCAACCGAAGATTAATCCTGAGACAAAAATGAAAAGTGTTTTTCTCTAAGCAGTGTGAATCAAAAAAAATAAAATACCAAATTTACCAATCAATGGATTAAATCATACCGGTACTGCCACTGGTGTAACAGATGAGACAAAGGTCTTTCGGAGTAGGTGGCTATAAAGGAAAGCAAACGTTTAGTCACCGTATTCAATACGAGAAATAATGAGCGACTAAATCCAAGTGTGACATTAAATTAACGATGTGATATTAAAGAATTATTATTATTATCACCATCATAACAATAATAATAATAATAGAAACTAACGTATTATGAAGGATTATTTGTTCTGGGATAACCGCTATCTATAAAAATATTGTTTTCAGATGTATCAGGTTAAAGGGCTAAGATAATTCGTGCTAGCCAGTACTGACATAACAGAACCCGTAAAATGACTCCCTCTGTGTGAATTAAACACTGAAATGAACAATATTGTGTTCAATAAGATTCTCTGGAGAGTTCGTCCTTTAAGGAATATAAAATATAAGCTAGCGGATAACGCCTTGGCGTTTGAAGCGATGGGCACGAGGTTCGAGTCCCATGACTGGGGTGCAGGTACATCCAGCTGACGAGTCCAAAATAGGACGAAATGCGCCTCCTGGATTCTTCTGCTGGCCACAACCAACCAATTTATCATAATTAACATTCAGGCAATATTGAGGTATCCGCATAGGAGCCCATATGCCAATAGAAGTCGAGCAGTTCGATCCAACAAAACAACGGAGAATAACAAGTATGTCAATAAATAGTAATAAGCTAATCATGTTTTTCTTAGGCAATGGTAACAAGAATGTAGGTTAGGCAATAAATCGAACACATAATATTGGCCTCTGCATTAACATTAGGTGTATCTCTTTGACGTGAACTGAAAAAACTGATAAATGAATTTGTCTCAATCCATTAAAAATTATGTCTCCTTTCTAATCTTGCGATTTCAACCCTTAGAATATTCACATCAAGACCTTAGTAATCGGAAGATTTCATCTTTTAGCAACCTTAATTTACGTTCCCAAAACCTTAATCATTAACACATCTGTTAATATTATCAATATTCTTAACACCACTTATACTACTAAAAAGAAGTCCAATAGAACCGCTAATGTCAATGTTTACGTTATCGTTTGATACTGAGTCTCAGCGGTTGTATTTTCAGATTACGTTTGACATTATCCCTAAAGTATTACAGTGTAAACTCAAGAAGAATGAGTAAGAAACTTAATCCAAATAGACTTCTCATCTCGGACTTTTACTTTACAATTGTATTTGATCCAAACAACAAAAACAATAATGAAACAGGCTTATGTGTCTTGAAATACATTTGTGAAAAGTCCACAAACACCATCTATACAGTTCACCCAGTTGTCTGACTAAAGAAACTTTCTACGGGCACTTTAACGTAACCACTAATGGTGCACACATGCACTGGTACATCAACAGTTTTATTATGAACTGAGAATATAAGTGTTGGGCTTGGATGCCATATTTTGATAATATTTGAAACGGTAAGCTAAAGTCAACGACGAATAGAGGATAAATTCAAACCATTTCATTTGTTTAGCACAGTGAAGGAAAACTTGTCGATGTGACTGTAATTTCCAACTTATGCACCATTTCTTCGAGTAACCTGTAAATCAAACTAGGTGTAGAAAGTAGGATTGAAGGAAGCGTAGTGGAAATATCAATGAAAAGTAATTAAAGTGTGCAAAAAACCAATCATTCAGTGATTTCTAATCTGTTTCGAAAAAATTGTAAATATCATATTCAACGTAACTTGTACGGAGCTAGACAAATAAGTAAAACAGAAACAATAAAAATTTAGAACGATCACATGAAAGTTTATCATCCATATCAACGGGAAAATACAAAAGATGTGTAAAAAACATTTTCAAATCAACTTACAATTTTCGGTTTCAAAGCTTTTCGCCCTAGATCCTAAGACAAAGTGCGTTGTACAAAAAAGAACCCAAATTCAGAAATGAATACACCTCAATTCTGAACTCTTTTAATATGTACACTGCTAATAAATAAATCATTACTATCCCTTTATGAGAGAATACACAAATAAATCAGATGCAAGGTTAAATATCCCATTGAACAAAAACGACGTGTCTATTTACTTTTAAATTCACAAATGACTTTTAGTTTGAAGCTATGCAGAAACCTAAAAATTAAGAAATCTGTTAAACAGTAGAACACAGAGCCACCGACGTTATTGCCTACTTAAGTACGTATTCGTACTGATTAGTATACACCATCCATACCACTAACTTTGGAATTCACTGAAAGTAATTGCTTAGAATAATTTCTCATTGCATCCTATTTTTAATTAAGCCAACAAACCCATGTAGTGCTGTGCAGAATAGTCAGCAATACAGGTAATTCAAGTGACACTTCTAGAGTTTGAATATGGAAGCTTTTTTCTTTCACAGTTAGGTGATCATAAGCAATCACCATTACAATTTGATCAGGAGGAGTGAATGTTTCAAATCAGTTTTCACAAACATTGACACAATTCGCGGAGCCTATGAAACAGTTCGCAACAAATAGTTGCTACTTTAACACGGTGGCTTTGTGTCCACACCACAATGAGCCTATTTAAGTATGTAATAAGACTGTCCAGATCCTCGTAAAATGCCCTAAATCTCTGAAGCTAATCACAACTATGCGCTTTGTCTCTAAGTTTGGAGAAAAGGCACGCTAAAATACGTGTAAATGCCAGATTGGTTAAAGAGATAAAATACATTAAGAATGTCTTTCCAAAAAGGCCTGGGAAAAACTAAAGAATATCGCAAACGTACGTAAAAATCGCTGTATTTTGCACATATATTGTCATCGCAATACACCTCCTAATAGTTTACCACCACTTTTATTCACTGAGGAGCTGAGCGACCATCAGAAGGTAGAATTTGAACGCCACTGTTCAAATGTCTGCATAGTACTGTACTATATCACTTTGTGCCTTATCAAGTAAAACTACTATGGAATTACATTCACTACTAAAGTGCCCAAGATCTACACTTATACTGACATGGGGAAATTCATCAGTCTTTTTCATCTCAGTGATAACACTTCTAACCCGTTTGTTTCTAATACATAGATCTTCACTTTACCTTCTACTGGATTGAAAGCTGTCTAGTGACTCTTCACACGACCACCACGACATCTGTGATGTCATTTCATCTTGATACATTAATTTGATATAAGTAGATAAGGAATCATCCTGGAACCAGCATCAAAACGTTCAGTAATTAGACTGAGTTAAGGTGCCAGTAAGGTTGGAAACTGGCTTTCTCTGCAGTCTTAATGACAAAATATCAGGTATAAAATGACTTGAAGTGAGCACTTCTGAGACAGCGAACTGAGGAAGTCTGATGAGTAGAAATATGTCAGTAATACACCAACTGAGTTGACCTCAGACAAAAAGTCATAGGAAAACGAACAATCGAACTGAAGTGAATTGAATAAGAACTTCAACATCAATAGTGCTAGTAGAGGAGACTTGTAGTTTTAAGCTCTTGCTTCTAGGTCTTGAGGCTCGGTTCTTTTCGTTCCACTGTACTCCTTCGATAGTCGCAGAAGACTGCGTTTTCCTGCTTATAGCTTTGAAGCTAGTGATTATCTATTTGGAGGTATTTTATTTGTAAATTGTAGCTTGGTTTGTTTGTTTTTTAAGGGGGAGGGGAGCAATGGATAAGATCAATTAACAAGAAATAAGTGATATTTCCGGTTGGGTAGTGAACAAATTCATCGAGTGACAACAACAACTTTGATCAGTCCAGTTTCTCTTTTAACAGTGAAAAATTAAAATAGCAATCGCAACTCACCAGGAATTCATCAAAAGAAAAAATCTTCACTGAAGAACTATATTGAATTTTAAGATTTTCAAAATGTTGATCCTGGATAGCTATAATGATGAATTTCAATGATGATATACATTTCTGTAGAAGTCTCTTGGCCAGATCAGCTGAATAACACATCAATGTGGTTAGTCCAGCTAGAAAATTGAAAACGACAGGAAATATTTTATATACTCTGAAAAGAAAATTAACAGTCCATCAATAGTTTTAGTTATATCTTAACGAATAGTCGCGTGGTGAAAATATGAAGCACGGTTTTGACTTCTTAGCTCGCAAAACTTGCAAGCGAAACATGATTTACGTTATACTATGGGTCAAGATAGTCCTAGTTCTCAAATAATTGGGGCGATTTGGTGTAGTATATGAATAATAAGCTGCGTTATTGACTGAAACTACTATTATCACTTGCTTTCCAGCAGACATATTTTAATGATAACAGAGAAAGTATGTATCTAGCTGATCGAATGTTTCCGTATGATCAATCATAGGGTATCAGTCTTCAACTTTTGCACTCTTTTGTGGTTTTTTTATTCACTTGACAGTGTTTCTTCAATTGGTGTTTCGGGTATGTTGTAAGACACAAATCAATGGGTTCCATCAAGCGGAAATATGATATTTCTATGTGATCGTGAAACGGATTGAGTATCCATTGTAACAGCACAAATACGAAAACTATTGACCAAATTCTAACGGAATGGGCTGGGTTATTGTTGTATTCTTACATGAGAGGAATAAGAAATATCACTCAGTAGTGAGTGATTCCAACTTCCCTACCTTGTGTTCTAATACGCCGACACTTTAGACGACGCCGCCAACCTATTTTCGCTTTTGTGCATTTTCCACGTATTTTGTCAAATATATAAGTAGTAGTAGAATATATTCGGTTTTTCTCCGAGTCAACTGATGTGAAGTGAGTGAAAGTAAAATCAAATCTGCGCACATGACGACCCAATGGAACAATAGTAAAACAAATGGAAGCTATTGATTAACGATAGTAGCAATATTGTCAAATTAAGAATATAACAAAGGTATTTGAAAAATTGCTATGGTTTACACTTTCAATGCTAGTGCGATGATGTTGTCCATAAATTAAACTAACACTTCACAGTTGAAAAACCGATATATATATATATATTCAGCTATTCGAAAAGATAGAAAAAGAAAGGAAGAAGGCAGATAATTTGTAAACCCACTTTGAGTAAGAATATGTTGAAGTCCTTCATCACCTAAAGTGGCATACAGGGGAATGACGGTAAACGAGTAGCTGAAACACGCGTACTGCGTGATAAACCACTGAAATAATTTTAAAAAATAAACACTATTAGTAAGCGTTATGTTAGTGTATGACAGAGCTTGAAAGCTAAAGGCATCAATGATATAAAACAATAGGAAGTTCAGCGAATTCAAAGGCATTTTTAAAAACTACAAGAATGAGAGAAACAAAATATTTGCAGAAGAAATCAACTTGCTTTTTAGCAATTTCAGTGAAATCCGCTTGTTCATCAATTTGTTCAGGATTCACTAACTTCCTAAGTACACTATTTTAAAAAAAACTCTCATGTTCCATTTACTTTCAACAAGAGTGCTTTAAAAGTATATTAAATATAAAAAGGATATTCGATTAAATTCTTTCAAAAAACACTATCCTCCTATTGTGTCTTGACTAACCAAATGAGCAAGCTTATTCTGCTTAGATTTATATACACTATGTTATCCATTGGGATTATACTTGTTATTCTAAGTTTTTTTTATTGTAAAAAATCTGAATTCCAAGGAATGCACACATCGTATTTAAGAAATGTCTAACTAGATTGAATGGAGTCAGTCAAACTTTTCAATTCTATATTGAATTAAATTTGAACTTCTTTCTGATCCATTTCTACAGCTAAGCGCAAAATCTTCATCCAAATAACTGTGCGTATAGTATCAATTAGTGATTAAAAACACAAATAGTTTTTAGGAGCAAAATGATAGCAATCCTAGTGGGATTTTGTTGTCACAGCTTTCACTAAAAAATCATATTCAACTGAGTACCATTGAATGCATTGTTATAAAGATGTATAGCCTGAGTTGCAAAGTTCACGTTCTCAAAAGACTGACCAAAAGTTCCATGTTATCTGGAAAGCACACATCATTTAAATTAAGGCATTTGATCAGTAAGGCAAAGAAAAGAAAAGAGTTCGACAATTAACACACCTGTGGCGAATTTCGACCATACACACCTACAAACTTTTCGCATTCTGAACACTGACTTGTAACTTCGATAAGTGCTGATCCAAATGCCTGAATACTTTCATCAACCTTTAAAAGATATCACTAATGTATCGCAAATATTAGAGAACCTCGTGATAAGTGATCCATGAATACTGCTCATTAGTGGTATATCTATTGCCTAGACATGGCAGAAAACCTGAGAACAGAAAATAAAATAAAAAGCCTTGAAAACTGCAAATTACATTTTAATGTATAAAGAAATACACCAAGGGCACGTTAAATGAAAGTGGAAACCACATGTCTATGTATATTGCATTCGGTGCCATTCAAAAATGAATGAGCTTGTAGAATACGTCTTATTTCTTTATATCCATGAGGAGTTTGTGGAGTGTGAAAAGAACCAATTCATCACATATTAAACCCTCACTTCCCGATTACGTAAGCTATGTTGTCACGCTTATTCTCTAAATAGTCATTAAAGGACTGATGACTGAATTAACCAGAACGCGTGAATATGACACTCCTCCGGAAATCCACTTGAATGAGGTAGTAAAAAGCATTCTAGAGCTTATATTCAGTGCAATTAACAATGAATATTCACTTTAGGAATCTCACCACCACCCTTAACGCAGTTCCATGAGAAAGGAAAGGCAGTGTTTTTAGCAACGAAGTAAAAAGATAAGTAAAGGCTTACTTCACTAAAAGTTATCTACAGTACCCGAACAAACAAACAACAAAAGTGGAAGCTTATTAGTGGCTGACACTGCACATGAAAGCATATAAAACTGTCCTCTTGCATCAACACTTAGATGAATGTACGGCTATTGCGAAGTGTTCGCCGACACATCGACACAAAGACAACCACCTCCAGGCGGACACATCAGTTTACCTGCCATCATCGGCAAGGTGACTAGTTCGCGAGATGTAAGAAATATCCAGCATTCTCCATGAAAGCTATTGTGCGTGGTTCGAAAAGGTTATCAGAGAACAGACCAAAACGATTTTGTTCGCTGTTTACCCCGATACTCATCTCTTTTACGGTTGGACAGCATATTTCATTTTGTAGCTGCAAAGTGACTAATTTTATACTTTCTAAGTTTGAAAGACCACTCAATTCTATCTAGACTTTATGGCCAAAAACATGTACTTAGGACAACGGGTGCATAGAATATAGCTAATTATAAAGCTAAAGCATCACATAAGTAATTTCGATCAAGCTTGAATGGCATACATAAAGCAACTGGATAACTACTTGAGTTTAGGCACAAGTCAGGACCTACGAGATAAAGTTAACCCTTTGTTAAATAGGTCCATCATCGTCTTGACATCCAAATTTTCATTTTCGTTTGTGGCCAGATTGCTTTGACGTGCACCCGTCTGTGAATCAATAACAGAGAATGATGAGGTAGGAAAAAGTTTCATGAAAGGATAATTTTCAAGGGGTAATGAAATTTAACTTTTGAAAAGTAAAGATGATAATTCACCTCTTGATTCCCCCTCTTTCAAATTCTACATATCTAAACGAAACAGCAGGTTATACCTGCACTCCAGAAGCTTCTGAATATAACTTGCGTCCATGTCAGCACGATGTTTCCGGATGTCAAGTAAGATTATATCCCTTCGTAGGATTAATGTTGGCTAGGAACACTCAATTGTTGGAACGAAACTGTATTAAACGAGCACCGTATTGGGGTTCAGTGATGTGAAATGTTATGGAAACCATCCAAATGTTTTCGACAGAATGAGCTTCCTTACTTGATCGTTAAGGTTACCAACTGGTGTTGCTATGTCTGATCGTTTTGTCTCATCTGTCGAAACTTACAGCTATTAGTGAAACACATCCTCTGCGTTATTCAAACTGCAGTCGGTGGGGACTTGGATGGAAATTAAAACAGAAACCAGCGAGTGCGGTGATCTTTCCTGATTATTCTAGATTGTCTCAGCCGAATTGCTCACTGATGGCAATCTACTGAGATCCAGTCAAGCAGCACCGGATGTTGTTGCATCGTGTCGATATAGAATGGTCATCGAGTCACACAATCACCATATTTTCCAGTTGAAGTCAAGTGAATAAACACTCTGATACTGTAAGGATGTCTCAGAAACAGCCTACAGCGGAGATTCGATACGCCAAAGGTTTACGGTAAGTGAGATGTTGTGTCCTATTTTGCTTGGTTTCAGACTTTCATACCTCGAATGTGAAAATGATAGCATTGTGTCAAAGGACCAGAAACAGCAACTTCTTGTATTGTAGTATCATTAATACTCTCAAAGTAACAACTGAGGAAGTATGTAGTGAGATTACCGAGAAGAACAACAGAGAGCAGTGTAGGTTGCTGTTTGATTGGCTTTGGATATTCCTAGAAGAGAGTAGGCGGCGAAAACTTGTATACATCACACACCAGTGGAGTTGGTTTTTCTCAACTGTATGATGTCATTTACCTTAATTTAGTTTTATGAAGTCACGGAGGATAACCAGTTTTTACAATTCATCTTAAAGAGTAGGAGAGGAATCCAGGAAGCATGTTTCGTTCTGTTTTCACAATTTTCACTTTCTGTCACTGCATCTCACTCAAGGTGGCTGATAATAAATATGAAGACGGATTCATTATCAAGTCTTTGTTTCTCAAATTAAGACTCGAATTTAATCGTCAAGTTCGCCAATTCTCTGTAGATCGTAGTAGGATGTGGAAAAACCAGAACAGCCATCTATTTGAACACAACACAAACACCGCTATTCTCTACTAGGAGTTACATAGATTAGTACACTACGTCACCCAGCTTTGCAGATAATCACAAAGTGGTCTAAGGGAAATATTCAACAGCAAAAATTTCAGATGTCCAGCAGTAATCACTCAACCAGGCAGAGCTTTATAGAAGCTTGACAACCAAAACAGTATAACAAAATGTAGTCCACGAACATAGTAGCATACCTCAGGGTCGGCTATTACAGACTGAGCCCCAAGCAGCTACTAATGAAAGAAGAATCCATTTCTGGTTTGTGCACTTCATAGTAGACCTCCGGAAACTTAGATTTCCCATCTAAAGGAAAGAATAGAAGCAAGTAACAATAAAAATTAGACAGCAGAGAACGACAAACCAAAAGGCGATACAACGACGTGAAAAACACCAAAAAGACAAAAATGGACACTGATATAAAAAAAACCAATGACCAAATCAACCAAATCTTACATAGCAAGCAGCTGCTTCTGGTACGTCACCTGGTTGACATGAAGCATCTAGACGATATGGTTCTGTTAGATGTAGACAACGAAAACATGAGTTTTCTGGACGTCCTGGGCAGAAATCTAAATAAATCTGGCATGCGTTTTGCACCTATCAAATACAAGACGATATATGACAGGTCTCCATCACTCCCGCTTTACTAACAGGAAGTTAAGTGGTGGAATGCGTCGACCACTGCATGCAATTGAGAGATAAATCAGCTGGTTCGTGACGAAATCTCAGATGGCTACATACAGGTTGCTTACTGCTGGCTAACTAGTCACCTAACGCGCCGACTAAAGAAGTATGACCAAGATGTCATAGGCGACTGGAATAAATGCACAACCTTCTGCAAAATATCGATCCCCGTTGACGAAATCGTCGACTAAAAAATGAAACAATGGACGTAGTAAGAGATTTCATCACGAATATATAAGAAGCAGTGAGGACCCCTGGCGGAAAACGCCTCAAAAGCAACAACCACAGGCGAAGCACTCAAACCAAAACCGAAAAGCTGACGTCAAAAAAGAGATCAGCGAAGGATTCAAACTAACAATTCAGTGTTGCTCGGATCAGTGAGCAGAACCAACAGGAGGGGCAAGGTAGGGAAGCGGAAGCCAGAATACAACCCACCGACAGTCACTGTCAGTCAGCACCTTACATCTATGGCCAAACCAGCTACATTCTCCAGGTGAGATTCTACCAACGATAAACCTAACATAAGCTTCCACTGTATTCTGTCAAACGTGTTTCATCCCATCTAAGTCCATCCTTCATCACGGCTTTCATGACTGCTACCACGTCAGTCCTGCGTCACAAAAACCACACAATCATCATCCAGTATCAATCAATTCACACCTATGCCGGCTCCCTCCTCATCAACCTAGTCCACACCAAACAAACACTGAGACACGCACCGAACCATGCCATGCACTCCACTGCATAACTCTTCCACATTACAAACAGCTGATAAACCCAAATTTTCCTTGATCTCTGCCAATCACACACTCTAAAATATATGCACTTTACCGAAATATAGGTGGGAAACACACAAAACCACTGTACAAGCCTTCCAAACAAATGCCTCATGTCATGGCACTGGAAACAACGATGTAAAATCTACAGACACGCGACCCAAACAAAAAGCACCACCTCACTCCGGAAACACAAAATCCATATATCTTAAGCAACTATTGCAAACGACGTCCCGACGAAAATCCTACCTTCACACCAGTAGACTATTCACCCAACAACATATTTGACAATACTACCTCCATCAGTCACCAATGAATGCTAAATACACACTCATGAAAATACCCCTACACTCTCTAGATCCCGAATGCACTGAATGCATCAGATAACTATGAATCCGTCACACGTACACTGTCATCGAGGAAATGATCATCGGCTGTCAGTGAGAGATATGCTACAGAAATTCGGGAATCGAATGCGAAAGATTCGGAACCCAGGGGGTTATGCTGTTCAAAACAGACACATACACTAGGTGAAATCCATTGGAAAAGGTCTTTCCAATGATAATTCTACTGATTCCCCCATTAACACTAATTGTGTGGACAACTTTGAGATACAAAACTGATTATGCCAGTGAAACACTGAGAAAAATATCCAGAAAGAACATTAGAGGGATTTGAGAGTGAGACCACAGTTCTTTATGAATTTCCAGAAAGACATCTGACCTGTGGTGGATGTGGTGAAGAAATGTTTCAATTATTTTTGTTACAAGTTTTTATTTTCTATTGATCCCAGCTAGCATTTACTTCGGGTGCAGTTTTTAAGTTTCATGTTTTGCGCGATGCTTCACCGTGCGCACTAAGGAATGTTTCGGTTTTCCCCCTAAATTTTTTAGGCTTCTTACTCGGCCTCTGGGATTTTATTGACCTCTCTAACACGAGACATTTTGCACATAAACGTCAATTGTTCAGCTAAAATTAGGATGGATTATGCCTTCTAATCGCTTGGGATATGGATTATTACAAATGTTCTGGGGCAGTGCAGACACTTCGGGTAGTTCGGAAGCATTGTAGAAACTTCGGGTATTTTAGGCGTGTTTATGGAAACATGAAAATTTCGGGCTCATTGCAGACAATTTGGGTATTTCCCGAATTTTAGTAGTGGCCCTGAAACTGTTGAACTTTTGTTTAAGTATACCCAAATTGGTGACTGCTAGCGAATATCCAGTTCACAAAACTATGCACGTGTTGGTAAGCAGTGGTAATTTTTGTGTTAGTAAAATTAATTCCTTCATTTTCAGTTACAATGACAAGTCATCTAGCCAGTGCTGTAACTGGTGAACCAGTGACCATTGCATTTGAGGAACGTAGACCGTCATTAAGCATCGCATCAAAAACCGAAAGGAAGGCGACGAAGCTCATATTTGCGTAAGGCTTTTTTGGTTCCTTAACTGCATGGCCTAGCTCGACTTGGATTTAAACTGTATCAGAGTGTGTCTACACTATACCGACGAGTTAAAAAATATGAGTACCAGTGGAGCATACAACCGACAGGCGGTTCTACTGAAATCATTTTCTACCTAATCTAAAAGCAGCACCATCTCCAAGTTTAAGCTATTACCAGCGAGATATTAGTTACCTTGATGACAGTAAGTTAACTTATAATTTAACCTTAAACATTCGTTCAACCAATTTCAATACATAATGATGACAACATGGGTAATTGCCAAGAGAACGAAGTGCAGGAGTGTTTGGTCGCTCCAGACATACCAGTATTTGACGACGTTGCAACTTTTTTAAGCAGGAGTCCACTACGAACACCGTACCACTTCCTATTCTGCATGCTATAAGAAACATCGTCAAACGAACAAATATGAATCACGCTAATGCACGCATTTTACTTGAGGAGCTTCGTCCCCCTACCCTGAACTTCCAGTTGATCCTCGAACGGTGATGAGAACGCCAAGTCATTCAAGAAAACAGTAGGATCTGGTACATATGTTCACGTTGGTCTCCAACATCAGCTGAAAAATCAGATAGTGAATTAGCAAGTACTGTTGGGCAGAAAACATATTGTACTACAGCTGAACGCAGATGGTGCACAACTGTTCATGAACTCACACTTGCAAATATGGCCAATACTGGGAAGACTGACATCCCCGAAGGTTAGTGATGTATTTTTAGTAGGTATCTATTCCGGTCCTTGTAAACCTGTTGACGTTCATGAGTTCATGAAGGAGACGGTTGCGGAACTGAGATCACTCATTGATTCAGGTCTTGAGCTAACAACGGTCTGACAGTTTCAGTTGAACTGAAAAGTGTTATTTGCGATACCCCAGCTCGGACATTTGTTAAGCAGATTTCAGGACATAATTCTAAACGCGGTTGTGATAAATGCGTCGCTCACTGTACGAGGCAACATAATCGCACGACTTTCTCATCAATGCTTGATACTCTTAAGACAGACAGTTGCTTTCGAAGTCAAAAAGACGAACATCACCACCCTGGAAGGCCTCCATTCGAGAAACTAAGCATCGATATGATTAAGGCATTCCGACTAGACCCCACGCATCTGGTATTACTAGGGGTTGTTAGAAAGATGCTTAGCTTGTGGAAAGGCCTTGTTTCATCTAGGCGGGATGGGATGAATAGTCATATAATAAGCCGAGTTAACGATCTTTCGATTAGCTCACATGCATTCACTCCATGTGAATTTCAACGTAAGTGCCGATCGTTGGCTGAGACCGATAGGTGGAAGGCGACTGAATGTCGTTTATTCCTTTTGTACTTAGGTGTGGCATATCTCAGATATTTTACCACCATTCTTGTATGACCACTTTATGGATTGATTTTTAAGTGCCTACCTGCTAAGCCATCCACTGCATTATTGCGACCATCTAGATAGTATATCACCAATGCTTAATAAGTTCGTCTGCAATTTTCAGGTTCTGTATGGAATTGAAAATATAGTGTATAATGTTCACGGGCTCTTACGCTTGTGTGATGACGTTGCCGAATACGGTCCACTAGATTCCTTTTCCAGCTTTTCTTTTGAGTCTTACACACACCGAATACAGAAACTGATAACGGGACCGAACAACCCTACTGTGCAGGTCATCAAACGGCTTGCTGAGAGGTCACTTGTGGATATTGATAATGCTGCGGTGAATCATGGAAAAGGCGTACTCATAGACACAAATAAGCAGAAAGGCTTTTTGAGTAGGTTCACAATTAGTACGGTAATTCCAAACAACTGCGTTTTACTTGGTTCGCGACCTGAGATTGTAACCCACCTTTTGAGTGACACACAGTTTGTTTTCAGAGGTTATTGTAATCCCAAGTCTTTTTTCACGAAACCAATCAATTCAGCAGACATTGGTATTTACCAGGTAGACAATTTCGAACCGACTACAAGTATTGTAGATTACGTCAGGGTATCGGCTAAGTGTACGTGTTTGCCTTTGGAAAACCTTTTGCATCGTTATTCCCATGCTTCACACATTCAACACGGAGATAACTGAAAGGTAGTCGTAGAAGTATGTTTAGTAGTAAACACACTTCTAGCACAACTAAGCTTTAATTCATGTTCCTTGTGCTTTATGAACACTGTTATACATAGTTTGTTTGATAAGTATATGCGAATTTCATTTTTAACCGTGTATTTGTAAAAGTTCATAAATAAGTCATGCGCCTGGCCTTCCCTTCCATTTGTTTATTGAAAAAGCATGCATTAATCAGTTTGCTTTTTCAGATGTCTAATTATGTTATTGCCAAAGTACCTGCTTTAAGCACAGTAGTCCTGGTATCGGAAAAGTGGCTTAGTCAAGGCTACTTTCTACTGCCTGAAAATTACACATGCCTTGATGTGAAAAATCGTAGCCAACCGACTGAAGACTTTTCATCATACAGGTTCACGCAGCTCACAACTTACGGTATTTGTATTATTTGCTGATTAATTGTTAAAGACAACATCGATAATGCTCGCGAGGCGTATGCAGATTTCGCAAAGCTGCACAGAAGTTCAAAAGACGAATCAACATCAGATACTGAGCCAACCAGCGATGTAAGACGTAACCGGTATGTGTATTATTTACAATAACTTCTCTTTTCAGTGGCATTGTCCGCAAGGTGAAAGTACGTTCAACAGGTGTGCTTGCCGATTACCCCTCACGAATTCTGGAAGATGGTGGCCTGGATTTTAGTCCAACTATATTCGGAAAGCCTTTCGCCGGTTGCTCCTCCGGCAGGTGACATAAATTGCTAAGGTTAATTGAATTGCAGCAGTCAATATATATATGCACAAGAGTCTGCAAGTTGGTCTACTCAATCCTGCAACGTAAGTTCACCTTCTACTAACATTCGACACGAAACGAAAACGTTGGAGTACAAACGGATACTTCCGAATGCTCAGCTAATTGTTGTCGTAACATTTCTAAACGTTTGGAAAGAATTGAGAAAGTGATGGCTAGCTTAATGGCAACGAGTTTCTTGCATAGGCAGGTCGCATCATTGGATTCTTCCGAGAGACTTAAAGTCTCCAGAAAATGGCTTGTTGATAGCGACCTGCGAATGCAATAATTCGAACAGCATATGACTGATCCCGTTAAGCGCAATTCTGCAGCGCAGGAGTTGTCCTGCCTCGATGAATCAGATATCAGTGTCTCCGTCCGGCGCATTATGGGTGCACTACTGGAGCCGAACTTCGGAATGCTGTATTCACGGTCTTCCATGCAAGACAAGCGTCCTTTTAAGAAGACGCTAATGTCTAAAATTATTTTCAGGAAGTTATCCTGTCAGTTTTATCACGTACGAAGACGTCCTTTTTAACATCCACAGGCACGGGAGCGACAACCAAGAAGTTACTGCCGAGAAACTGCGTAATCACATTCAAAGATGGTTTCATAACAGTCGCGACCGATTAAAGATGAGGGTTAAACGGCCAAAAAAGGCAAAATGGTAAGCATAATATGTTCCCTAATACAATTATAATAGGTGACTTAATTACCCGAAGATGGTGAGATTGTCTCTATCTTCGTCGGTACATACGCGGAAAGCACTCGGCTACCAAGTTCGCCAGAGTGTCAACGATTTGCAAGAAATCTGAGAAGAGTATTCTGTAATTTTTATTGTATCAATATAATTTCATTTCCATACTTAAGATTTTTGCGTGCTGCTTGATGGGAATGAAACGTTTTTCAACGCATAGAGCACTTTGGGACTTTTGACGCTTTCAGACAAAATGTTTCGAACGTTCGGGGAATTTTTGCGTCACCCTAAAAGCGCCCAAAGTAAAATAATAGGGGTATTGCCCGAATGTTACAAAGTGCGCCCCAAGTAAGTGCTAGCAGGGATTCCATTCCTTGCCATTGAAATAACACAAGCCATTGCACAGATTACAAGGCCTTGACCTCTCTTTACTCGACGGGATAGTTTAATCGCGAGAATTTACTAATTCCTAACTAAAATGCAATCAGGTGTTTTATATATATGTAGCAAATGACGCTAGAAGGGTAATAACCCAAGGGTATAATTCTCAAAAGTAATCCAATGAATAATCACTACACTCAAAATACTCACTTCTACGAAAAATCATCTTCAAAAACAGATGGAAACGCTATGCGTTTTTCACACTTTGTACTTCCAATACACCAGTCTTTTATAATTCAAAGCCGTCAACTAAAGAGTTGCGAGAATTGGCACGATAAAACAAATGCAAGATACATTACCTCTCTTAATGGCTACTCGAAGCCGATTGCTTCCCGTGCACTCTTTCACTCCTCACAACTTTCAAAGTACCAACAAGACGCTCGTACAGTAAGTCTAACCGTTGGTCTCCTGCATCCACCCATCAACCCATTCCGCCGTTCGACGTTGCTATAACCCGTGAGTAGTGTATGACTCACACTGACAATTCAGTGTTGCTCGGATCAGTGAGCAGAACCAACAGGAGGGGCAAGGTAGGGAAGCGGAAGCCAGAATACAACCCACCGACAGTCACTGTCAGTCAGCACCTTACATCTATGGCCAAACCAGCTACATTCTCCAGGTGAGATTCTACCAACGATAAACCTAACATAAGCTTCCACTGTATTCTGTCAAACGTGTTTCATCCCATCTAAGTCCATCCTTCATCACGGCTTTCATGACTGCTACCACGTCAGTCCTGCGTCACAAAAACCACACAATCATCATCCAGTATCAATCAATTCACACCTATGCCGGCTCCCTCCTCATCAACCTAGTCCACACCAAACAAACACTGAGACACGCACCGAACCATGCCATGCACTCCACTGCATAACTCTTCCACATTACAAACAGCTGATAAACCCAAATTTTCCTTGATCTCTGCCAATCACACACTCTAAAATATATGCACTTTACCGAAATATAGGTGGGAAACACACAAAACCACTGTACAAGCCTTCCAAACAAATGCCTCATGTCATGGCACTGGAAACAACGATGTAAAATCTACAGACACGCGACCCAAACAAAAAGCACCACCTCACTCCTGAAACACAAGATCACTCTATCATGTGCATCTTTGGGCCTCAGCCTTTTCAACAACACTCCTGCTTTTGTCGAATTTGTTTATTTTGGTCTTCTGTCTATGTCTGCTTTTCTTGCTTTTTCTGTGATTTTCTGGTTGGCGCTTGTTACGTTATCTTTCGCTAGTCTTCATTTTCCGCGTTTACGTTTTATAGGGTGCATCTTTTACTGGTTTTTTGATTTTTGCATGCTTTTCTTCACTTTTTTTGTGTTTTGATGTTTTTTTATTCTATGTATGCCATTGAATTTGAAGCTTCTTTTTTAATCTTTTTAAAGAAATGATCTCACGTGTGATCTCTGGGGTATGCTTAGTTCTCCTAATGTTCACTGCGGAAATTCGCTTTGCTGGGTTTTCGTAAGTCCCTTTCTTGATTCAGTTATTTTACAGGGGTGTTATTTTTCCTTATGTCATGTTTGAGTAACACACGTACGATGTGACGCACTTAGATCTTAAGGCTTGTTAAGTCGCTATCGGATCTCTCAAATGCGAGGGTCAATTGGCATGAGCCTGTCATGCTTGACAGCCCTATCACAGATGGCTATCACCCTGAATATTTCAGAAAGAATATCGTTGAATGATTTTGGGTTGATTTCAAAAGTAACACATGATTACGGCGGGATTTCGGGGAGCACTTCGCAGTCTGCATACGCCATCACATTGGGGTTTTTCGCCATTTTTCCAGACTTTCAACATTTCGCCCATTTTCAAATAGCGATAATCTGTAAACTATATTTGTACATTTTCTAATAACCCGTAGTGGAGTCCCATTTTAAATATATAATTTTATACACCGGTTGTAATCAAGAGTAATGTATGCAAAATAGGGCAACGCCCAATTATTAAGATGTCTTAACTGTCTGAATAAAACATGTGACTCTGTTATCCCCATACTTGGCGTCAAAAATTGCAAAACGATGAAGATTACAATGCCAAGAAGCCAATACAGTTGGATGTTAGGTGCTGGAGTGTTGCTAGAACAACGCCCATTTTATCCTAAATATATTTGTAATGGATGTTTACAAGCGATGATTCCCTTATTGATCCTCCTGATACGTCTGTACCTGAAAATACTAATCGTTGACTAAAGAGCCTTAGAAAATAAAATGTCCACCCTGGTCAATATTTTCCAAAGGATTCTTGGGGGAACGATAGATAAACTAAGGGGCCAAAACATGCGGTCTAACTGTCAGTAACTAAAGGCCAAACGCAGCGTCATCTGCTCAGACTGTATTTCATTAGGGAATGGTCATTTCTGCCTCGATTCTCATCCTTTTGGCTTTACTGACCAGAAGGACCCAACTGTATTTGGTGTATCGGAAAGTGGAAGTATAGTCATATCATCAAGAAGAACAACTAAGTTCAGGGGTGTAGGGTAATCCAAGTGTTGCCATTTCGAGCAACGGAGAACTGTTTCTTTATGCTTATTATCGAACGTAGCAACTGTTACCGCACAAAGGATGACGCATCATACATAGGCCTCTAGTACGCCTAACATTGAAGTATGTACTATTATTCCAGATGTGCAACCGCTGCACGTGGCTCTGTACTGGACCACGTCACACGATGAGAAGTAATAGAAAAGCACTAATTTCTCACCACTGCAAGTAATTTGGCTTCAGAATTGCTAATTAAATTCATCTTTTCAACTTGATCAATTTTAGGATTTTCGCCACCACTGTAATTGGTCAGAGCATCCCTCAAACCGGTAGCTTCAGATGCGCGGGTTTGGAGACCACTGATGAACAGGTCAGTTCATCGAAAAGTTACGAACGGTCCATTACAGTGACTTTAATTAAGAAATCCCTATATGACTGACGAGGTGTATTCTTTACTACATTGGCACACTTTGACGGAAAATGAGCTTATTTTGGTGCTGAGGCTAGCAGATCTGAAGGCTCAAACGGAGACAGAAAGCGACTACTCCAGAGAGGATGTTGTAGTGGTTAAGAGCACCTAACTCATTAGATTCATTTGAACATTACCCTCACTTTGGCCTTTGTATACAAAAACAATCCCACTGTTATTCTGTGGCAATTTTCGCGCGCACTCCTAGAAATGTGACGTTTTGCAACGGACTCAAAAAGGAAGTTAGGCATACACTAGGAGCATTTTTACTTTTCAGGCTTCTTGCAATTAGCAGGGCTGCATAAAAATTCCTGAACCACCTATGCCATTCAGAACATGGGGGCTCTTGTAGCTTTTCTTGTATATTAAGGGATATATTTGGGAGCAACAGACCCATCGTTTCTCAGCCGTTTGTAAATTGGGTGTGAAAATGAGATAGTGAACTTGAAGTGCATGTTTCTCCTGGCGGCCTATTCCAAATACGAAAAAATCATTGATGAAGAAATCACTTCTCAGCTTCGTGGTACAAATCCATTTCAGCTAATGCAATACGGTCACGTTTGTTGTAAGTAGGTGTTACAACTAGCCGTATTTAAAGGCTACAAGTGTGGGTGGTTATAAACTAGCTTATAGTACCTTTCAATCTAAGTCGGCCCTTCCAGAGGGGTTTCCTTGACCTAACAAAAGCACAGAGAGAAGTCAAACTGCATCTAGCAGGGATTCCGTTTTGCTTGATACACCTTGGGTGTAAACCTGGTCTAAATGTGAGGGTATAACGTAACCATGACACCGACGTCAACCTTAACCTTTGAACTCAATTTTCGGATGGGGAGAATGATGAGCAATGACTCATCTCTGCACCTGCTGAAACCCTTTTGAAGAGGATCTTACCACTTGGCTCTCGGTGGAGAGTTTTCGAGTTTTACGTTTATTGTTGCCGGAAATGACAAAATATATCCGAGGAATATTGAATGCAGCACGAAGAAACTGCCAAAGATACCTAGTTGAATCCAACTTGTTCTTAACATCGGTTCATAAATGAACTTGTACAGCCTGATAAGGAATCGCTATGGAATAATACTTAAGCGGCCCCTGTACAACGATTCCTCTCAACTGCTATGCCTATTCTGTGCCGAATATCGCAGCCCGTGGTGACTACAAACGATTCCACAGACCGGATATTTTTACATAATATCACGCCTCAGATGTCTCCGTGGCCGACTTTCTAATAGCTACTCTAAATTGTTTTGTTCCTGTCGGTTTGTTTGCGACAACCCATCCCAGTCACCGGTTAGAATCGTATCTGGCCATTCACCCTGGGGGTGGATATTATGAGCTTTCCAGTTGGAGATTAAAAACACCGGTCTAACATGTCGTTCCATATCCAAAAGGATGCAGCTCACCACAAAGCTCATCAGATATTTGAAAAACTCGACGCACATGATGACATGCTTCCCCCTGAAACAAATGAATTTGGTATCCTCTGGTGTTGCAAAGTAGCTAAAACGTTCATAGAAGCTGGAGGTGCACAGAAAGCGCAGTTTGCCTCCGACGATTTTGGTGACCATCAATGATAAAATGATGGCTGCATAACCCTGGATATCTACTGAATTTTGATGTGTATATCTACCGGTGTCCTGAAGCAAACAGTGGGAGGCCGCAGGAGGCAAGCAGTTCCTCCTGAAACTAGATCTAGTGATACCGCGTGGGGTGATACCAAAGTTCTTACTCCTCAACTTCATGGATTTTGCAGAATACGACAGAACAAAAAGAACCGAGTCTCAAGAACTAGAAGTGGGGGCTAAAAAACCACAAGTTTCGTTTACTTGCATTACCTATGTTGGATCTGTTGTAAGCTTATTAAGAATTATTGTTTTCGTCCATCCTTCCAGGTTTGGCCGTTCTGAGTCCAGACATTCGCGGTTTCCAAACAAAGAATATTTTTCATTGAACAAGTTAAGTAGAGCTGCCCGGAATAAGGGCAATCCCCACCGTGGTCCTCCAGGAGCAACCCAAGCTCCACATAGGGAAGTCACCAGGATGAGACGACATCCGGTCGGCTGTGTTGAAACATTGCGCATATGCCTCATGCGGTCCGCTCGGCAATCTTTTTCAACGCTTATTAGACAACTACACTACCCGTTCTGCCCCCCTTCTTCAAGGGAGGAGATGAGCAGAACCCGGAATGCCATCTACCCACGGCACTTCTACCATTGATGTCAGAAGTAGTGGAGAGCCCAGCAGACAACCATGTCACGCAGTACTTGTAAAAGGAGCTGGCACTAAGTG